CTTCAACCCTAACCAATAATATTAACGCAACATTCAAATTTCAAAATCTTTTAGCAAAATGTACCTGTATTTGCTGAAATTGCACATAAATTACCATTATTTTGCAGTATTTGTAACCATTAAGTTGAATTCAACAATTAAGAAAATAGTGACTAATATTAAACATTAACAGTGGTCATATTACCTTATTTTACCTTTATACACATGTTCCAAAAACTTTTCAAAATCATGGGATGAATCACATTATATTCTAAAGTATATAAAAAGATATTCCAAAAACACCACAAAATAACATCACAATCTCATGTTTTTTTTTCACTCATTTATATTAAATAATGCACTTTAAATTGTATGTATTATAGTATAATGCTCCTACAGAATCTTATTTTTCTATATGTTTATATAATACTGTATGACGCCGATCCGTTATCACACAGTGCAAGAAAAGAATTAACCCCCCCAAAAAAACTTCAGCAAAACTCGTATTTTATTAACAGATTCGCCTTTCATTCGGACAACTTCCCCCTTTGATTAATCAAAATGCACCATACACACTGTATTGAAACTGCTCTGAATACATGCCATAGAATCTGAATTATCTAATATTACAATCTTTTTTTCCTTGTTGAAATATAATACTAGTAATAATTAAAAAGAATTTAAAACGGAACCTGGCACCAAATAATGCAAAACCCGTAATGACACTGATTATGTCTCAATGTTATAAAATGATTTGCACGAAGATAAGCTATTGATATTTCTTCTGTAACTTACAAACATTTTTTCTTCCATATAAATGTAATGATATTTAACATTTACCAAGCTAATTTGCGTAGCAGACTAAGAATTCAGTACTGTAAATTTTTAATTGAACTTTAATTATCTAAATGACTGAATTAAACATCAACATAGTATATATAATTTAGTGAGGCAGAATAGAGGACCAAACTTGCTTGACATTTCACTGGTGGCAATACAAGTCATTCTCACAGCTTATATCGATTACCACATCTTTTTTTACTGACTGAATAGGGCAGAGAAGAGCACAAATGAGCCGCGCCATGACAAAACCAACATAATGGGTTCGCTATCAGTTTCTCTACTTGTAACAGAGTATGTAAGCGAACAGCATGGATCCTATCAGACTGCTCGGAAGCGCAGGCTGGTCTGGATCCATGCTGGTCGCAAACTTATTATGTTGGTTTTGTCATGGCGTGGCTCATTTATGTCTGGATAATCTTGGTCTGCGATGGTCACATTGATGGAATCAGTTGCAGCCAGTAGATTATGTGTTAATTAATCTCAAACACAATGATTGGGAACTTTTATATAGCTTATTCACCAAGTGTCTCTATTTTATTTTTCCTTTGTTCCTAGGTAGATCCTAAATTGTATAAGCAAGCAAAAACTTCCCTTGTTTTTAGTTTTGAGGAGAAAAAAACAACAACAAAAAACAAGAACAACAAAATGTAATCATTTTTATTAAATATGAAGAGCTATTAAAAAAGGAAAATTAAAATCACTAGACTGCCCCTTAATGCTTTTATGGCGTACTTATGAAGGTCAATAAATTTTAGAAGTGATTTATATGGATGGTTTTCGAGCCTTTTAACACAATATAGTACATATATATTGAGTTGTTTTATGTATAATAATTATGCAAAAAAAACCGAAAATTGCAAGATATATGTATACAATAAATCTGCCTTAATAAGCACACCTGAATGACATTAAAATGTTGAATTAATTTACATAATGTGTAACAACATATAAGAAAGATCTTGAAAAGTTATTTTTATGCTTAAGATAACTTGTGAAAGTTGGTGCAATTAATGCCTTACCTTTGCCACCAGTTCAGGTGTCAAGTTAGTCTAATATCTGTCCTTTATGACAAGATTTAACTTTTCAATTATTTATATTTAAATCTTGGAATCAGTTTTAACCCTTATCACCCTAATATTTCTAAAATAGACTTGTCCATATTTAAATCTTGGAATCAGTTTTAACCCTTATCATCCTAATATTTCTAAAATAGACTTGTCCATATTTAAATCTGGACAAAACCATTCACCATTTTGAGGAATACATTTTAATTTCAAAACAATTGTACTAACTGATAAGCAAACAGTGCAGACCATGACCTGATGGCATGGATGTGCCAGCTGATCTAGGTCTGCACCAATCACACAGGTAGGATCTCTTACCAAATGCAGGATAACAAAAGACTGGTTCATGTTTATAACGAGACAAGTCCATTATGGTAGAGGGTCAATCTTTTTCTAAAATAAAACATCAGGCAAGTTGTTTGCCAGATATACTCATTTTGTTGAGATTTAATATTTTAGGCTAGCTTAATTAATCAAAAGACTGATGATATCATAGTTCAATTGTACTGGTTTAGAAACTAAGAATTGTCCATTTATATTTCGAAAGAATTCCATATCAAAATACTGACTTGAACTTACCACAAGAACTTGAAATTTAATCAATACATCACAAAATATACGTATATTAATGAGATAGCCCTTATCTCTATATAAAAAACTTTATATAGAAATAAGGGCTATATCATTAATATGCGTATATTTTGTGATATATTGATTAAATTTCAAGTTCCTTTGAACTTACAAACTTATAGCACAGTCTGGATGGACAGCAAAAATATGAAGACAGGTATAGCAATGATACTGGTAAACGACCTAAGTTTCATTTTGCATGTCATCATTTTTGTAAAATTGGTAAATAACTAGCTTGAACAAGACAAGATGCCACTCCTTAGAATAAGCACAACAGGATGATTGTCTTTAGACTAATGTAACAAAATAACATAATATATAATAATTGTTCCTCATGAACAAACAAAACCAGTCTAAACCTGTACAAAAATCTTCTGCACATATCAATCTTACCATAATCTATATATTTATATATGTACAGTATATACAATATAATTGAGAAAGATTTTTTTCCTGACATTTTAATTTCACAGAGTCATCTTATATATTTCTTTGCAAACAGATTCAACTTTATGTCTCAAAGAAAACTTCTTTTTAGCAGTCAAATTGATCATTATCAAGTTTCAACAATTATCGGTATCATTTGAGAGATTCCTTAAAATAAAGACTGTTTTACATTCATAAACAAGTACAGTCTGTTTTATTTATCAATCATAGTGAATGAATTCACTATTTATCAACCATAGAATATGAAAATCACACTGAATGAATTCACTATTAATCAATCACAGTTTATGAAATCACTATTTATCAATTACAGAGTATGAAATACGTATTTATCAATCACAGTTTAAGAAATAGACTCATATTTTTGACTGTTTTATTTTAAAATTAAAATACTGAAATCTCTTAAAATCAACAATAGGCAGTTTCAAACTGAAACCAGGGCAAGGCAGTTGCATACATTAAGGAGGGTTAAAGATTAACTAAAAGTGTGTCAAATAATCTGAATCATCAAGACCCTAAATGACTGTCAATCAAATGCTTATTTATCTGTAATGAAAGCAACATGAGGACATTGACTGCATTTAAAAGTGGATAGACAACATGTTGACACTTACAACTACAGACTTGTCTTCTAACTCAAACAAGCACGCAGTAACAATCCTCGTCTACAAACGTACAAACGTATAATTACATTATTCATCTATCAATATGCATTCATTTCAATTGTATCTTATTCAACCTGCGCTCATTAACTTAATAAAAAAAAATCCCCTGAACACTGAAGCCGCAATTTATCAAAATTTCACAGGGCTTTTTGATTGGTGATTTATGGGCAACATGGCAGAGTAACATTGTGAACGTACATCATGCATGCCTGCACAAGCTTTGTGTAATACTTGTTAATTCGTATTTTATTATAAGATCAAAAACGGTTTACGACTTGGGAAAAACCTCTTCCTTACATAATTTGTTCCAACTTGACAGGCTTTATGAAAAAAAACGTCACTTTAAAAAGTCGTGAACAACATTGTACGAATAACTTTAGTCTAAAATCTGGCAAAAAAAATCCTGCATACTGCTGTTTAACTCTCTTTAGTGAATATTTACTTTTTATATACAAACATTAAGATTTATTTTACTACAATCTCTCCACTAAATATGCACAAGACTTTATTTACAAAATTTATTTCAAGATTCTAAACAAATCTCTACAGGTTGTTTTTAATTTTTTATTTCATAATTATCAATTCTTTATTTATGTTACCTTATATGTTACCTTGAAGTCTATTCAAAGAAGCCAAACAAAAAGCGTTATGTGTTCATTTACTTTTATTCCAACACATTTTAATTATTTACATCTTCAAACTATAAAAACTATTTACCATCATATAAAGACAATACCCATTCATATGTCCTTTTACTTCCAACCATGCTTTCATATTACAAGCACTTTAAACTTTCATACTGAAAATTTAGAGTTTTTGTCCTGAGCTTGGTGGCTCACTTTAACCAGAAAACACATATTGAATATAAAACCATAATGGAATCATGTGATTTCATGCATAACTGACTTCCCTTTTCTGTTAATATCAAATGCTTGAAATAACAAACATTACAGCTTTGAAACAGGAAACTCTGATTCATTAGAAAAAATATCTCACTAGAGGCAGTGAGAGATACAGACAGAATGGAAAGGTTCTATGAACATATATAATATCTGACAAAATGTAAACATGGTCTTGGTGGTGTATGGTGGTGCTGGTAGTCTTCACTCCGGATCACGGCAGTAAGCTACATTAAAACTACCAGAGCTCAATTCAGCCACCGCATTGATGTCTTCACTTTCCAAAGGAACTCTTCTGTACATGCCACAGCAGAGGCACAGTGCGAATGACTACAGAAAGGATTTCATTATCAATCACAACAAAAATGACCTGCACCATCCTGGATTCCAACCCGGGTCACCCAATTACAATTAGGTCTGTCTGTCACAATTATGAGGAAACAAAGAGACATGAGGTTTTATTCTATTCTTACCTTTGTGTATTTTAGGTCTGCCTGTAATTTATTCACTTGCTCTCTTAGCGTCTTCACCTCCTTGGTGTATCTTTCCGTTTCCTCGGCAACCATTCGTTCTTTCTCTGTAAACATGGTGACAACTAATAAGCTATGTTCACTTCATACTTCCATATTTAAACAACAAAAAACCCTTTAAGACCACTTTCTAACTGCTTTATAATGGATTTATGTCTCCTTTTTGTTTTTTATTATTATGTTCTTATTTTTCTATATTTTTATATGGATGTTTAAATTTGAATTGAACAGATTGGTCATGTATTTTTCCTCATCTAGTAAGGTAATGCATCTGGTTTCAAGCTTACCTAGTATCAGAAGACCAATTATGTATAATGTACCTCTTTAATTAATTAATTGTCTGTAACCTTACAAAGAATCTATTTCAACTGAAAGAATTCAATGTCCTGGTGACATTTTTTAAGAAGTGAGGGTCGGACAATTCTTAAAAGCAATATCTCAATCAATATCTAAGGCAAGCACAGTAAAAACAATAATAAATTTTTAATATAAGATTGGAGTGGGTCTTACCATGTTGGAATTCTTCTAGAACCATCTGTAGATTAGTCATTGAGCTAGAGTACATCTGGTTTTGTTCTTGTAGACTAGATATTTGAAGATATGCCTGGTCACGTTGTTGTGATACAAAATGTAGCTGTTGCTGTAGACTGTCTAACTGTTGACTGGCATGCTGACTGTAATCATGATAATAATATGATGTTAGACTGTAATCATTATAATAATATGATGTTAGACTGTAATCATGATAATAATCTGATGTCAGACTGGTTAATAATACAACAATACAAGCTATTTACAGTAAAATACCCTTCATTGACAAAGATTTAAGTTTCTGCTGAGAGGCATTGCTCTACAGAGGTTAGTAGAGTAGAGTGAAGTCTTTCTTTGATAGAACACTGATACTGTTGGTGCAAAAAGGTGATTGCTTTACAGAGGACAGCCCTGTAGAGATTGTACTGTACTATGTATCAACCCTTACTGCTGACAGGCATGCTTTAATCTGATGTTAGACTGGTTGATAAAAATGCCTAACCTTGACCGGCTAGAGTTCTTATATGGGCTTCCAATAGAACTGACCATTATCAATTTCATGAAAACCAAGATGAAAATCTTATTTAGCCAACAAAAACAGCCTGGTTGGATGGCACAAATGTGTTGACTGGCTTGGCTGTTTTGGTGGCAAAGGTTAAGCACTTAAGGTTCAAGCAGGGCCAGGGTTAAATTCTTTGATAATTATAGAATTAGATATAAAATTATGTTTCGTATAAGACCCTTCAATCATCAGGAATAACAATTTCTAATGTGGTCTGCAAAATTGAAATAAGATTTTTGTTAAGCTAATTAACTGTATGTAAATAGTGCTAACTACCTGCAGTACATGCTTAAAACATTAACACATGCCTTACAATCAATTAATTTTGTATGTACCAAAACTTGCCATGTTTCATTCCCAAGATATTTTTATTATTTCAATGGGGCATGTAATATGTTAATGATCAGTATAGTTCACTGGTAATAAGAGTTCATGACATGAGCACTCACTTTGCTGATTCCACAGCAGATGAAGAATGTAACGCATTTTCCTCAGCAGAAGTAAGTCGTGTGCGCAAGTCTTTCTCCCGCTCTTCTGCTGCCAGTGCTTCCTTCGTGTAGCCTTCCTCTATCTAAAATACAAATACAGAACTTATCACCTATGTATAACACATATCATATCTTTAAAACAATTTGTTTCATGTTTATTTTCATATCTTCAACTTTACCTGTTAAACAGGAAGGCACAGCCGTGCAGTCTGACCTGGCTCTATACTGATGGTAGCCCAATTTTTGTATTCTAATATTGAAAACCCTTGAACTTAAATGACTGTTCCCAATTTAAAGAAGAGCAAATCTATTGCACAAATTTTGCAGGATAAAGCTTAATTATTCAGTAACAGTAAAGTATATATAGGAGATATACAGCTGACAATTATCTTGTGAAGTATGATTTTCTATTCTGTTTCAAGCATTAGAGATCCCATCCTTTTCTACAACAATTATATATATTACAGTTGCATAATGTCTATATTCCCCATCTAGATAAATTCTGCAAATATTATATGATAAACTGTTTGATAGCTTTAAATAATTTATTTCAGCCTTATCATAAAGGCATTACAAATGTAAGAGACCAAACAAGAACTGAGTTGTACTTGACACTAAGAAGTATTTTTCATATACTGACAAACAAAATACATGTAAATAAATATAATAATTTTACCACCAACATAAATTATGAAAGTTTGAAATAAAGATCAACTTTACCTGTATTAAATGTTGCCTTAATCTATTTAATTCTCGATTCAACTTTGCTTCCCTCTCTTTTAAAGACTGTATCTGTAAAATAAAGTGCAATTCCATGTTACAATTTTCCAAATCTTTTTGATTTCACTGTACAATTTAATCAGAAAGAATTTATTTCTACCTAGCAGACACTTCACTGATTAAAACCTTCATACTTGTATACTTTGCAAGTAGGGCATGGAAATTAAAATTTGATTGGAAAAAGGGAGTATGTAATCTGTTCTGTACGCTCTGTGAAAATGCTAGAAAATTTGATAAAACATAAATTTAAACATTTGAAGATTAAAGTCAATAAAAGGTCTAGCACTAAGCCTCATTGTTTGATGCAATAAATTGTTCAGAGATAATGTTTTATTTACAAATGTATTTACAAGTACAGGAAAAGATCAAAAACCTTTCATTTTTAAGTGTTTTTATTGTCTAAAATAATAAAATAAAACTTACATCTTTCAATAACTGGTTATTTTGTTCTTGTGTATGTTGTCTCCCTAGTAACGCCTGGTCCCTCTCGTAAGTTAACTGTTTGATATGTTTCTGTGTTGTCTCATTCTCTTGAATGACATGCTCAAGTTGTCCCTTCTCACCTTGTTGCTCTTGTATCATTGAGGTAAGTGACCTTGACTTCTCCTGAAGACTAGAAACCTCAAAGTCTCGATCCTGTAGCTGCAGCGTTAATTTATGATTGGCATCTTTAAGCCCCTGAAACTCTGATGACAAAGAATCTCGCTGTTGTTTCAGTTGAGTAATTTCAGTTTTCAAATCACCTTGCTCTGTTTGTAAACCATGGACCTGAAACATGTAACTGTCTACTTGCTTTTTATAACTGGCCCTCTCACTATCACTAGCTCTAAAGTTCTGTTCCATGTCACTGACCTGCTGATACATATTTTGTATCTTTGTTTCTTTTTCTTTAACATTTTCAATGAGTTCTTGATACCTTTCTTGAAGTTTGGTATTTTCTTGTATCTTTGCATCGTACAAAGTTTTATCTACAGTTTCTCCTGATTCAGTCTGTTGAATCATTTTACCAGTTTTTACTTCTAATTCTTGTAATTTCTGCTTATAATTTATCAATTCATTCTGAGCTTTTAGTAATGATTGTTTCTTATCTTCAAACTGAGGCACCAGTTGTTCGTATGCCGATTTTATTTTTTCATTTTTTTCATTTTCAGTATTTATAAATGCGGTTAACCTTTGAACCTCTGCATGATAAGCCACACTTTCCTGATGTTTCTGGTTCAGATATGTTATCATTTGTTCTCTTTCACCTTGTAACACTGCTAACTGTTTAACCAGGGTATCTTTTTCAGACATAAGTGAATTAATTTGAGCACCTTCAGTTGAAGACTCCTGCAGTACTGACAACAGTGTTGCATTTTTCTGAGTCAATGATTCTATTTCAAGATCTTTGTCTCTTATTATTCTTGATAAGTTTTTAACAGTTTCTTTTTGCATGTCGTCTAAATGAGCACCATCACCATCTGGCGATCTTTTTGCAATTATATCTTGATTATCTTTCTGTAACTTTTCAAGTGCAGTCTTTTGAGCAGCTACAATATTCATTAGCTTTGAAATTTCAGCTTTTGAATTGCTGCTTTCCCTGGACTTTTCATTCAGAACATCCATCATCTGTTCCCTTTCAGTCTTCAAGGATCTTACTTCATTTTCAAGTTTGTGCATCTCCGATAGAGAATTATCCCCCTGAGATTTGGATTTGGAGTCCATTATTTTCAGCAATGAGGCATTATTTCTTTGTAACTCTGATATGATGTTGTCTTTTTCTTTCAACTGCCCTTGAAGTTTTTCTATTTCCAGTATGACATCATGCACATGTTCTGTATGCTCTGTGGCAAGGTCACCGTTAGGTGTCTGCATACCCAACATCTTCTGAGTTTCAACTTTTACTATCTTCTCTTCAACTTCTGGTTTCTGAACTTCACTCTTGTGTATATACTCTAGAGCAGGTAGGTTATACTGAGGTACTGAGTTGTTCCCTGCACTCTCAACTTGAATTATTTGTTCTTCATCAATAAATGACTTGGCACGATTAAGTTTACGGGTAAGCAAAGTAATTTCATCCTCCTTTTGAACAGCATTATGTTTAAGCACCTCTATGATACCATCTTGTGATTTTATTTTTTCTGAGTCCTTATTTAACTCTTGCAGAAGATCCGCTCTTTTCTGATTTAAGTCTGCTATGCCTGCCTCTTGATCCTTAATGAGTTGTTTATTCTTCTCTAACTCAGTTTCCAAATAACTTACTCTCTCTTTTAATGATTCTCTTTCACGCTCCAGCTGATCTTGAGTATTCTGGTTACCATATTCACCTTGTTTTAAAGAATTCAATTCATTTTGTAACTCTTTTATTTGGGAATTCAACAGATCTTTTTCAATTTTGCTCTCCTCAAGGATTTTACATTTCTGGGAATTAGAGTTCTGAATTTCACTTTCAAGGGACAGTTTTTCAGTTTTAACTGCATCTAGCTCCTCTTGAACACTGTTCAATTCTGCTTCAGTAAGTTCTTGTTCCTTTACAGATTTTAACATGCTTTCATTCTCAGAAGATAATTTTTCTACTAATTTCTTGAGTTTAGAAATTTCCTGAATGTAAGCATCACAGTCAGTTTGCAGATCTTGATTTTTTTCTTCCAATGTCTCCAATTCCTTCTGACAATCCTGTAGCTGGGCATATATATTACTAAGCTTTGATTCATTTTCAGAAATTTGTAGATCTTTTTTATGAGACTTTTCCAGTAATTCATTAAACTGTGTTTGGTGGTCTGATGAATCTGTTTCACTAACTGATTTTAGTTCTTTTATATAATTTTCATAATGTTGTTTTTGATCAGTAGTTTTCTGATCAAGACTAGTTCTTTCACTTTTCAGTCGAGAACACTCAGCTGTCAAGGTATCAATTTGCACCTGCTTCTCTTGCAAAACTAACTCATATGCTTCTTTGGAATTTGTTTCACTTGCCTCTTTAACATGATCAAATTCAACCTTTAAATGTTCAATCTCTTTTTGCATTGCACTTTTTCCTTCCTTTAGCTTGGAGATCTCTTCATCTTTTAAATAGAGTTCATTGTCCAGCTTTTCCCATTCCTCTGTCCTACTTGCTAATTCTTCCTTTACTAAAACCAGTTCACCTGTTGCACTTAACAATTGAGCTTCATATTCATTTTCAACAGAATTGACAGACTCTTCTAATTCACCTTTTAATTGATCAACTTTTTCAGTCAATATCTGGCACTCTTCACATTTGGAATGTAATTTATCAGCAGTGTCCTCTAATAAGTCTTTTACTTTTGCATTTTCTTTGTGTAATGATTCATACCCTGCCTCTTTCTCTTTTAACTTCTGTTTTAAAATTGATAACTCATTCTTATGAATTTCTACTTGACTAGATAACTGGGTATTTTCTTTTATTTTTTCTGAAAGTTCAGTCTTGACAGTTGTTACCTTATTTTCAACAGCATGTATGTGTCTACTAAAACTTTCACATTCTGAGGTCTTTCTTTCACTTTCTTCTTTCAATTTTTCACAATCAAGACTTGCAGCTGTGAGTTTTTCTTTAAGACTAAGCTCTTCAGCCTCAAGCTGTGAAATCTTAGATCTTAATGTAGTATTTTCTGCATCTGAAACCTCAATTGTCTTATTAAATTCATTATGCATATCCTCTGCTTTTTTCAAAAGACCAGCCAATCTTTTACATTCAACTGACTTTTCTTTTAACTGTTCATTCGCATTTTCTAAGTCTGAGCTAAGCTGACTTACTTGTAAATTCAACTGTTCAGTTTCTGTTTCACTAGAGTCCTGACTTTCATCATTTTCATTAGAGTCATTTGCGCCAGAAGTTTCCAGATCTTGTTTAATTTTTTCCTTTTCAGCTTTTAATGTCTTAAGCTTATCCGCTTGGGAACTTAAATCTGCTTTTAATTTATTTACCTTTTCTTGCAGTTCTTGCTTATCCATATGTAAGTTATTCAAAGCTTCAGCACTTGATGCTAGTTTGTCACTCATTTCGTTCAGCTCGTCTTCTTTCCTGCTCAGCTCTTTCTGTAGTGCTGCAATGGTTCCATTGCTTTTTTCAAGCTTCTGTCGAAGATCAGATGTTTCATCTTTTAACTCGGCAATCTGATGATTCAACTCATTTGATGATGAGGATTCAGCAGACTGGTTTAGGGTTTTGAGTTTATCAAATTCTCCTTGCATAGACCTCTTCTCTGCTTCTGATTGAGCCAATTTTTTCTTCAAATCCTCATTTGATTTTGAAACTTGATCTTTTATCTTTATGATATGACTCATGGCTTCTTGATGTTGGTTATCTAACTCTTCTAAACTAGTCATCATTTCTTCCTTTTCTAGTGACAAATTAACAATTTCTTCATTCTTACCTCTTAATTTTTTCTTTAACTCAACAGTTTCTTTTTCCAATGCTTCAATTTCTTCTTTTTGTGATTGTATTAGTGTTTCCATTTCTTCCTTGTCTTGTAACTTGTCTTCAGGTGATTCGCCCCTATTTTCTTCTGAGTCATCTCTTCCACCCACTAAAGCCTGAAGTTCCATCTCTTTTTCTTTCAATGGACCATTTAAAAAAGATTCCTTTTGTATTTTCCCTGTGAAAATGGCAGCAATAATGTATACTCTACTTTACCAAAAAAATGCAGAAACAGACTTGGTTAAAATCAAAACATAAATACTGATTCGATTCTTCATTCATTCAAAACAACTACTATGATAAAGTTGGATTTACTCAAACGCTTTTTTATAAATGTACACCTATATTCAATTATGAATGTCTCAAATCATAAAAATTTACCTTGATATTTTGTGTGATAATATATTAACTTTCCATTGTTTATTTAAGTAAGTTCTGTACCAAATAGCTATGCTTAATCAGTCAATTCATCCAACAATGTAGTTAATTCAACCAATTCAACTAAGAATGTAGTCAATTCAACCAACAATGTAGTCAATTCAACCAAGAATGTAGTTTATTCAACCAAGAATGTAGTCAATTCAACCAACAATGTAGTTAATTCAACCAATTCAAACAAGAATGTAGTCAATTCAACCAACAATGTAGTTTATTCAACCAATTCAACCAACAATTTAGTTAATTCAACCAATTCAACCAACAATGTAGTTAATTCAACCAATACAACCATCAATGTAGTTAATTCAACCAACAATGTAGTTAATTCAACCAATACAACCAACAATGTAGTTAATTCAACCAACAATGTAGTTAATACAACCAACAATGTAGTTAATTCAACCAACAATGTAGTTTATTCAACCAATTCAACCAAGAATGTAGTCAATTCAACCAACAATGTAGTTTATTCAACCAATTCAACCATCAATGTAGTTAATTCAACCAACAATGTAGTTTATTCAACCAATTCAACCATCAATGTACATTGTAGTTAATTCAACCAACATTGTAGTTAATTCAACCAACAATGTAGTTAATTCAACCAACATTGTAGTTAATTCAACCAAGAATGTAGTTAATTCAACCAACAATGTAGTTAATCCAACAATTCAACCATCAATGTACATTGTAGTTAATTCAACCAACAATGTAGTTAATTCAACCAACAATGTAGTTAATACAACCAACAGTGTCGCAACATAGCACAGATGAACATGCAGGCCTAGCTCTTTATGTATAATAAACCCTTGTTACCATTACCTCAAACATTCAAAAGATGAAATTATTCGTGAGATCAATAATAACTATTTCTGAGAAACTGATGTAACAACTTATTATAAAGAAGTAAAAAAACCAATTAAAGCAGAATTTTTCACAAGAGAGGTCAACTCAATCAATTTCATTTCTTGTTTCTTTCTATTTTGAAGTGCAATACTTCTTCAAAATACAACTAATAGCAATGCAGATTTCCTTCTTCAAGCAATAAAATCCTGAATTATGTTCCTACCTGCTTCTGTCTTAGAGTTATCAGTGGTGGAGGCAGACTGACACAACAATGTTGATTTCAAGGTTGTTACCTCTTTCTGCAGTGCTGCCTGTAACATAATAACTTTTCCATATCAACAACAAATACCTTTAACTTACCAAATAAGTTGAAATAACCATGCATAACTATTCACTCCATGTAAAATCTATAAGTTAGTCTAAAACTTCAACATAAATATTTTCTTTTAAAATATTTCTTGTATTTTCTAATAAAGTATCACATCTCAGACTTTTTCAAGTTCATAAATTTTGAATCATAGTACTAAAATAAATCAATCTACCTAATCAAATGTAGTTTTCTTTTTAATCTCTAGAAGCATTTAAACTACATACAGAAAGTGATGTACACATTTCTATGTGAACATTTTCGACACTTATTGTTGATGAGTACAAATAATATATCATGAAATATTAATTGTCAGGGATATATTCTATTACACATCAAGATTAAAGTAATATATAAACTACATGCATAAATAAATTATAATTAGTATTTTCAAACTGCTGTGCAACATAAAAGAAAAGTTTTAGCATAACTAAAGTGTAAGATAAAAAGTAAGAAACTACAAAAAGACAAACAATTTTTATAAAAGAGTCTCTATATCTGGACATTAAACCTAAAGCAAAGGTAAGACACAGCTTATCGAAGTCTCTATTCAGTGAAATCATTATTAGCCATTTAGCTGCTGGAATAGAAAGTTGTAAGCCTTTGCCACTAGTATAGACACAGCCAGTTTACATATCCATACAGTCTGACCATACTGTATACAGTATGTAGATCTTTTTTGGTACATTGATATTAAAATCTCCCATAAATATTGAATGGAAATTCAAAACTGAACAATTCCATACCACAAACTTTGCAAGTGAAGGATTAAACATACATTAACACAAACAAGCAAACAGAAATAAACCCCCCAAAAAACATCTAATCAGCTATAAATCTGTTCCTCTATGAAAATCAGACATCTTCAACTTTCGCTCTAGCATAAAACAAAACAAGCTAACCTTTTCCTCTACTAACAAATCTCTCTCTTGCTCTAACTGTGCATTAGCCTCAGTTAATAATCCAACTTTTCTATCTAGCTCTACCACTTCATCAGCTATCTCTGCCATACTATCTTTGTTTGGTTCAATTTCCTCCACCATACTGTTACTAGAAGTCTCCCCCATACCATCAATGGCAGCAGTAGGGTCAATAAGGTCAGGAAGGCCAGAAGTACTAGCCTCATGCTTAGCAACAGCTAACAAACCCTAATTGTTAGTAGAACATGCAATTAGCATAGAACAAGTGCTTTAACAAATTAGAACGAACAATTCTAAACAATGACATGTACTAAACTAAATTTCTAAAACACATTAAGTACGTATTAAGCAAACAGATATATCTATATGATACAATGAAATGTCTATACTGTAGAAAAGATAATACAAGTCATGCAATATATTTCTGTCAGAATATAATTTCTTAAGGGTATATATAACATTGACTAGACTCTTTAATAAAAAACACCCACTAAATATGATTTGAGCGACCTGGATCATGAATACCCATATTTACAGTTATTTCAGAAAGTCTGAAATATTTTAACTGTCAATGTTCAAGTAAAAACAAACATGGCTTACCTTCTTAGCTTCCGCCACATTTAGTGAATTCTCTTTAGCTTTCAACTGATTTCTCAGCTCTACAAGTACCCCTTCCAGAGCCTCCTTTTCACTCAACCAATCAGATTGCATCATTTCAAATTGATTAATCTCTGTTTCATAGTTCGAGATTTGACCTTTAAGTGTATTGACCTGCTCATCAAGTTCAAGGTTACGTCTAGAAATTTCTGAAAGGTCAGAGGTCAGGGAGGCAGAGTCACTGGCTATCATTAAATCATCGGCACCAGACGGTAGGTCAGAACCTAAATAGAAAATTGAAAATAAAATCTCATTTACATCTTGACAGAAGATTAAGTTTATGTTAAATGTCTTACATTGCAACCAAATAGAAATATATTAGAATGATATGGATTACATGACACTTCATCTCATAAACAAGAGGGCCATGATGGCCCTGAGGTCGCTCACCAGTATATAGGCCCCCCCCCAACCTCCCCCCCCCATTGTTGCAGGGCCAATTTAACCCAAGGGCTTTTATTTGCACAAACTTGGTAGACACCCATAAGAAGATGTTTCATGCTAAACATCTAAGCTCTAGCTCATTGGGCTTTTTAAAAGAAGATTTTTTTAAAGTTTTTACTATACACATATAGTAAAAAAAACAATGACACCCCTGGGGCCAGGCCAGTTTTGACCCCAGGGCTTTTATTTGAACAAACTTTGTAGACACTTACTAGAAGATGTTTCATGCTTAATATCTAAACTCTAGCTATTTCGGTTTTTTCAAAGAAGATTTTAAGTTTTTTGCTATACACATATAAAGAAAATCAATGACCCCCGGGGCGGGGCCAATTTTGACCCCATGTCTTTTATTTGAACAAACTTTGTAGACACTCACTAAAAGATGTTCAATGCTTAATATCTTAACTCTAGCTCTTTGGGTTTTTTTCAAAGAAGATTTTTTAAGTTTTTGTTATACATATATAAGGAAAATCAATGGCCCCCGGGGCGGTGCCAATTTTGACCCCAGGGCTTTTATTTCAACAAACTTGGTAGACACCTATTAGAACATGTTTGATGCTAAATATCTTAGCCATAGCTCTTTGAGTTCTTTAAAAGAAGATTTTTAAGTTTTTACTATATGCATATAGGGAAAATCAATGACCCCCCGGGGCGGGGCCAATTTTGACCCCAGGGCTTTTATTTGAACAAACTTGGGAGACACTTATTAGAACATGTTTCATGCTAAATATCTTAGCTCTAACTCTTTTGGTTCTTTAAAGGAAGATTTTTTAAGTTTTTACTATATGCATATAGGGAAAATCAATGACCCCCTGGGGCGGGGCCAATTTTGACCCCAGGGCTTTTATTTGAACAAACTCGGTAGACACCTATTAGAACATGTTTAATGCTCAATATCTTAGCCATAGCTCTTTGAGTTCTTTAAAAGAAGATTTTTTAAGTTTTTACTTTATGCATATAGGGAAAATCAATGACCCCCGGGGGGGGGGCCAATTTTGACCCCAGGGCTTTTATTTGAACAAACTTGGTAGACACCCATTAGAACATGTTTCATGCTAAATATCTAAGCTCTAGCTCTTTTGGTTCTTTAAAAGAAGATTTTCTAAATTTTTACTATATGCATATAGGGAAAATCAATGACCCCCCGGGGCGAGGCCAATTTTGACCCCAGGGCTTTTATTTGAACAAACTTGGTAGACACTCACTAGAAGATGTTTCATGCCAAATATCTAAGCTCTAGCTCTTATGGTTTTTTAAAAGAAGATATTTAAAGTTTTTTCTTTCGGTTGCCATGGCAACCAGAGTTCTGCATGGAATTAAATTCTTTGAACAATTTTTAAAGGTGACCACCAAAGGAACATTCCTGTGAAGTTTGGATGAAATTGGCTTAGTGGTTTATGAGGAGATGTCATTTAAAGTAAAAGTTTATGGACGGACGGACGGACGCCGGACGGACGCTGGACGAAAAGCGATCACAAAAGCTCACCCTGTCACTTTGTGACAGGTGAGCTAAAAATCCATTGATTAGTTTAAAAAGGAACTTTTTTCAATTGTGAGACAGAATGTGCCTTCAAACTAATGCATTTCATTGCTGATTTGCATGTCCAATCAGTAATGGTGGCATACAAGGACAGAATGTTTGACTCAATGCAGTTATGAGTATAATGTCAATTATTTACCAAGGTAAACTGTGATAAAAATCAAAAGACAAAGCCTAATGCAAAACCATAACTTACTTGAGCTAACTCTGACAGTCAGTCTTTCTTGGTTAACATTTTGTAAAGCTTTCTCTAGTAGAGCAACTTGTTCCTGTAAACCTACATTCTGTTCACGCAATACAAGTGTTTCCTTCTCTAAACTGTCCATCACTCCTAAACATTAAAATAAATTATCATATAATCATCAAAGAGGACTTGTTTTATCCATATTTTGAAATTTCATTATGTACCATAAACATTTTTTTCTCTGAGCAGTACTTACAAAACTGAATATGTTTGACTACCCGATAATTTATTTGTCATTAACATTTGTAGACAATTAAAACTATAGTATGTTTAAATCACACTGGCACAGTCAAGGTCATATGGCAACTCTCTAGCTTTATCGGACAATTAGGAATTGAGGTGTATCTCTATGTATTATTCAAGGAATAAATGGGCTATCTGAGTAAACAGTAGAGTAGCTTGACATGTTTCTAAAGTGGAAATTCTCAAAGTTCCTTGAGGGATATGAACCAACAGTGGTGAGGGCCAAGTGTCTGGGGCATTCCAACAAACAGTGGCCAAGTGGTTGCAGTATTGATACCAACATTGGTGGGGGTCAATGACATCAACAACTCAGCCATCAATGAGTCAGTGAACATCTTATTAAATTTATCTAGAAAACTATTTTCAAAGCAAGGGACAATGATTTATTTTTCTATAGGTCGTATTTTTATGATTGCCACTATTTACCAGCAGTTAGTTTTTGTTGTTCTTTGTCCCCTAGTTCTTCTGCCAATGACTGGGTTTCATTCCTCAGTGAATCATTCAGATCAGTTAAGTTACTTACAGCACTTTCTAATTCTTTCTTCTGAAATAATAAATTTATACCATATAATGTCCACTGCCATACATTTAAATATGTTTGGTCACTAGTCAAAGATAAAATGCTACCATGCTAATGTTCAAATGAATTTTGATATGTAAAGTCATAGAGTATTAAGGACTGTCATGGATCAAATAAAAATTCTACAAGATTTTACACATGTAGAAGATTGTGATGTTTACAGATTTGTATAAATCTTTTGTAAAAAAACATAACTGTTAAATTTTCTTGACTAATTTTGTCAATACAATAACACAGACAATCTCTTCATCCATTCCTAAACATCTCTAATTTTATACCTCTCAATTTATATAGATAGGGAGATTAAGATGTATTTCAGTGGCTTTATTTTTGTTGGATTATCCTTAATCCCCATTATACAGTCTCATGTAAAGAACTACAAGATACCATGCATTAAACCAATTAAGATCTTTACAACAAATCAATAGGATACAAGATTTTGTAAACAGTTGCATTAAAACTTGTTTAAGAGAAATCACTTATACAACTTGTAGACTAAATTTCTTCCCCGCCCTGAATAAACTTGTTTAAAAAAGACTTTAAATTTATCTCCTTAATATTTTGTTTATAAGATATATCTAACCAAATTCAAGTTTACAGTTATCTCCTGCAAACAGTATATTAGCATGAAATCAGTGAAAAGACACACTTTGAGGATATTATACATTTGTATATATGTTTGTTAAAGCAAAGATTGTTCTTTTGCACTGGTTAAACTTTTATGCATTAACACATGGAAGGTTTTTGTTATTCTAAATAAACATTATATCTATAAGATTGATGATTAATGACCACCCAATCCCACCTTAAAAAACCCTCCTAATCACAACACTTATGCTGGTGAATTAGTAAGATATTTCCTTTGTGCTTAAATTAAATGTATAAAAAATTCACAACAAAAAATTGTCTAATGTCAATAATTACATCTTTATTGAGAACATAACTCTTAGACCTGTATGGAAGAGTTTGATAATCATGTCACTGAGGTCACATTATACTAAGGTGTTTGTTAGGCTGCTGGGAAACACTAAAACCTTACCATTTCAACATTTTCATAACTTCATGGATATAACAAAGGGGAGTAAATTTTGATAAATGTGTGCAGGATGTGTGATCAGAAACAAAACAACAAAAAAATTAAGAAAAGCAAAACATAAAACACACTTTTCAACCTTCAACTAAATGGTGGAAACAAAAATATTTGAATAAACAACATAAGGGTCAATATTAAAAATCGTAAAAAAAAATGGAACTACAGAACTTGACAACATCCATGCAAAGGGAGCTAACCTGTTCATTTGATGAAATCAATTGATTAACAAGTTTATCTTTTTCCAAGAGTAACTTATTTCTACGGTCAATGGCCTTCATATCCATCTGTTGACGGACATCCCGTAAATCACTCAATATCTCCAAAGTATCAGCCTGTAGAGAATACCAGTTATAATACTTTTACATTCATACCATTCATAATGTTTTTCTAAAAAAAAAAGTAAGATAACTCTTGAAGAGCTATCCAAAAAGCAGTGACAGTAGTCTCCCTTGTTGTGATATAAAGCATTAAAGCTGTCTGAAGATTATTATCGAAAAAGTAATTAGTGATCGTTAAGTTTTTTTTACAATACAAAGTTTTTAGACAAAAGTGAAACCTAACAACCTTGCATGTCAATGTATTTAATTGATATTGGCATATAAAAGTGTCTAGGTTTACCATGTAACATTCTTTAACTTCAGAGAAACCTAACAACCTTGAATGCCCTTGCACTAAATTGATACTGACATGTCAAAATGTCTAGGTTAATAACTAGAGTATGATACATTCCTATTTTACAAATACACAGTTAATAAAAAAGTAAAGTTCATATGCTGGGACATGTACTAGCTTCACTTAACTCTTGCATATATCTATAGACAAAATTAAAATATAATGGACAATACTAAATTATCTAAACATATGCTCTAAAGAAGCAAATTAACAAATAGGGGAGACAACTGGAAACTAATTATAATAAGGGAGCCAATTACCTAAAAGCATGCAGAGAAACTCTAGACCCAAATATGTAGATATAAATTCTCCATTTCAAACAATTTATTGTACATTAAAGCAGGTATGACCTCACATAAAAAGAATCCCAAGACTGCATATGACTGGCAAGTCAGAACTGTTTATAAAAGCAAATACACCCATGTAAGCACTAAATGTGAAATACTGGGAGGTGATTAATGTTACTTTGCCATTAATTATTGCAAAACTTAACTGCTGTAATGTATTCATGTACAGCTAATATTACTTCAAATAAAATGCCATTATCAAAAGAATATTACAAAAAAAACATACAAGTATAAAGATTTTTTTCTTCACTTTATACCTGAGTAATAAATCTCTCAGCTATGTCAGTTTATCTTTTTTCATTTAAGTTTTATGTGCCACTGATATATCAAACAACTAAGTTAAAGATTTCTTTATGTAAACATCAGTATCTTATCTTGTTTTAAAATCAACTACATGTATCTAATAACAAGCAGTGCTCATATCTATGCCACCTCCTGAGTTTATAGCAATAACAGCCTATGGTACCACGAAGTCTGATCAAAATCTCCCCTACTGGCTACTTGATATTATGTTGTTTTTTTCCATAATGAAACCCCCTTAATCAATTATGTGCAGTTCCAAATACAAAGAAGGCCAAGTCCATTACAAACAATTAACAGGGTAGGTGAGTGATAAAGATATAAGTAAAGAGAAGGTAAGAGGTAACAGGTAAGTAATAAAGTTCAAATTTCAGATTTACCAGATGCAAACCAAAAATATTCAACCACTTCTGCATGCATTTATATTTCAATACAGGCAAATAAGCATTAAGTATTAAACTAATTAGTGATTTAAAAAGCATGCTGTGTTTAAAAAATTGCTTTAATCAAAAGATGTGTTAAAGAAGCCAAATATTTATAAGAAAAATATGCTTGAATATAATATACATTTAAGGCCGGTAAAAATGAAAAAATAAAAAAAAATAAATTAAAAATACTGAATACATACATTTAAGACAAGTTAAGAACTGAACTGGAATAAAAAAAAACAACACAAACAACATAACATTGCAAAACATGCAGGGAGAGACTCTAAGCTTTAAACAAATTACACCTAACAACAGATCATGCAAACATGAAGTGGGTGTGGTCACAATGATTTTACATGGTTTGCATCCAGCTGATCTAAGAGTTGTTCTTTAGTTTCCACTAAATCTCTGCCCACCTGATCACGGTCTTCTTCCAAACGCTTGATCTCCTCTTTTGCCACTGAAATAAAAATCAGTAAATATAGTAAATATATGAAATGTTTGTAATTCTCTAACAATTTTTCATACATTTTTGTTTCACTGGATGAAAAAACACTCAAATTGAAACATTAATCCATAACTGTACTGAAACTTAAGTGACCATTGTAGAGCCAGACCAGTCTGCACAACTATAGAGTCTAATCAGTCTCTGCACAATTGGCTGACAAACTTGATATCCCCAAAACTTGTAATGGACAGTTCCAAAAGATATAAGATGGGAATGTCCATTTAAGAAAATTAGCAAGTTAAGAGTAAAGCATATGTAAGTTTTCTTTAAAAGCGTTCTCTTGTTTTCATATATGCAAATTGCACAATGTATATTTGAGTACTGTCATAAAAGAATTCATCACTTATTGAATGCCTATATTTATCAATATTTCTACCTTTAAGCTGGTTTTCTAGATGTAGACTGTGTGCCTGTTTGACAGATAATTCAGACTGGTATCCCTCCACTGATTCCTTCAGACTTGTTATCTGTTTCAAGTTAGATTCTCTCTCTGATTTAAGGTTTGTGATTTCTTCATTTAATGCTGCAATAGATGCTTTCAGACTGGCAGTCTCCTCAGGTACCTAGACAATAGAAGTTAATAATCTAAATATACTTTTTAATAAAGATCATACATACATCTTATAATCTTATGTATTTCAGAGCATGATGCAATAAACAACATTTTTGTTTTGTTTTGTAGTCACATTTTAACCATCATGCCATCTTATTATGATTAAATATGTTTTAAATTGTATTTTTAGTATAGGCAGTACTTTGAAAAGTCATCATTGCTGTTAAGGTCAACTGGCTGGTTTCACTACACAAGAAAGAATTATATTAAAAGGGACAACATCCCAATTACATGAACAACAATGTATGTAGTGTAAATAGATACATAACACTTTACATTTAAGAATTCTTAACATAAAATGCAGCCTTATAAATAAATGTAATTCACAGTAAACAGACATGTCCCCGTCCCCCTTTCCTGCTGAGCAATTTTGGTCAATTACCCTCAAATCATAATTTACTGATTTACTGTTACACTAGAGTAAACAAGTGTCCAATTAAGACTAAGGGACATAAGTGACCCATTAATATAAAATATTTAACAGTACCACTCATACATACCTGAGATTCCCAGCCCTCTGACCCCCAATCCATTTCTTGCATCTTGGCCTTGAGTTGAGCAATCTCTTCTTTGTGTTTTTTCCGCATCTGAGCAAGTTTGTGTGTTTGTGAGTCTTGAAGGGCAGATAACTCATGCTGCCTGGAGTCCTTTTCATGTGCCAGTTGATGTTGTAGTTCCTGGTAACAAAAATACACTATCAGATATAAAGTTTAAACAGAAAAAGACTAAAATAATATTGAAACAGAACCATAAATAAATAAATTAACATCAGACATGTTATCATATATTTATTTATTTTTATGCATTTATTTACTGCAACTTTGCATAGTTGCTCAAATTAAGAGTTTCCTTCATATAATGAAACTTATTAAAGCAACATGCCTCCGGATTTTCATGAAAATTTTGAAAATGTATTTCAAAGAAAATATTGTGAAGTGAACAAAGAAAATTATTTATTCATTGCAAACGGCACTTTCATTCAATTTAGTTTACCGGAAAGAGGTCAAAGTACGCAACAATAATCTTTATTGTTAGTCACACAGTAGGAATATGGTGATATATACAGCAAGATCAGCCATTAATGGCACAAAGCATGTAAATCATTACTTGAATCTTGAATATCCTTACTTGTCTTAAAACATAAGTGTATTTTTTTCAAGTTTGATTTTTTAAATATTTTGGGTAATCAGGTGGTGTGCAGCTTTAAAAAAGGACATATTAAATAAAACGTTTCTATGATTCAAATAGGATATTCCTTTGTAAACATCTATGAGTGAAGTAAACATCATATATCAAAACATGTTACATAAGATGCATTATAACCAGACATCAAAACCACAAAATTACTTTGACAACACCCTTTATATGGTGAAAACATTATCTGGGAAGAAATATGCTTACTAGGCATATGACAATTTTCGTTATAATTATACATGTACTTTTAACCACAAGTTTCAAACATGTGAAATTTATTGATATTTATTTTTCATACAAGAAACATTATATTGTACAAGAAATATTATATTGAAATGCAGGTAGTATTGTGTTTTCTCACCATTGGAATGCTGGGACTGAAAGTTAATAGTCTTTGTCACCAATATAGAGCCAAGCCAGCCTAACATAATAACATTTGTGACCTCTTTACTTTTATCAATTTTGAATTTAATCTAGAACCCCCCCCCCCCACAATTGTTAATTGACTGTACCCAAAAACAGAACCTATGAAAGTGAATACACTTAACTTTGCAATCATTTTTATTATTCTTTTCTTTACAAAAATTTACTATTCCATTAAGACTAGACTGAGACAAAGTGGAATTGGCAAGACACCAGTTTGACTAATATAGCATAACATAAATAATATAGTCAATATTTGTATCATAATTTTTTAACTTTTTCTACATACCTGTAATTGTTTTTTGAGTACAGCTTCATTGTCCTTGCTATCAGGCACAGATCCATCTCCAAATTTCTAAATAAATCAAAACAAATTCATTATAATTCCAGATTATAAAGCATAAAACGCTGTCAGTCTGAAAGCATCCATTGCAGCTTTACATGTGCAAATCACATTGAAAGAAACTTCTTTTAAAATGTATTACTGTTTCCTATTCAAAACTCAAACAAAGACTGTCCTTCATTAGAATGTCTGATGTGTATAGACTTTTAACTTACAGCAATAAAACAAGAGATTATGGTTTTACACCTGACTTTACTATCTTATCTTTGTTGGCCCATTTTCTGCCATATATCTATATGACACTGGTCAAACATTCCAAATTAACCAAGCTTGTTGCCCGTTCCTGGACACTGACCAATATTTAAAGTTTACAATCTATATTCATGTTGACTAAGTGGTTTGTATCAATGTTTACATGGCTTTACTAAGTCTTTTGATCAAAGAAATGTGTAACATAATTAACTTAATAAGAATAAAGATTTTTATCATGTTTAAGATAACAAATGTGAAATGATTATTTTAGATCTTAAACAATTCTTAAGTGTTAAAAAGTATCATTTTATTTACATTTAATATTCAACTTAATTAGATTTATACTATATTAAGAAAAAGTTTGAAAAAAAAAAGATTTAAAATTATTTATTAATATATAACAAACAAGGAACTCTATAAATATTCATAAATCATTTGCAGTACAAATGTACTAAGTTATTGCTTTTGTTTAACCTACCAAAGAAAGATAAAAATACTTAAACATGTACTTAACAAAGTATATAACTTAATTTTCAAGCAAAAAAAAAATCCACCACAAAAACTTACAACAACAAACTCAAACTTTTACATGTTTGTCAACTGAAAAAAGAATTACAAACCTGAAGAAATAACTTTTTTGTATCCAAACTAATGTCAGAAAGGCACAATTCACTTTTTTAGTTTATTAAAAAAAAAATTACAGTTCAATAGCCCTTTGTTCTATCTACTTGAGCATAAATAACAACAGTCCAAAAGTAAGTTTTTCCGTGAATCAACTTAAACTATAAGTTGTTTACAAGAAGTCAACAGTTTCTTTGAATTAACAAGTCAAGTACTTAATTTACAAGTTAAACAATTGTGAACTGTATACACTGACTTTTAAATACATTATCACCCCCCTCTGGTTTCCTTTCTTTGGTGGTGTCTTACTTTCACATTAAATGCACAAGAGAAAATGAAATCATTTCAGGACACAAAACACACACCCTTTTTGTTTCACAATTTTACAAGCTTTTGCACACATTAAACAATACAATTACTTTCAATTAATAATGATTAAATAAATGAATTAATTAGTTTCAAAAATACATGTATATAAACCTTCCTCAATTTAATTTCATTCAATAAATGTACTGGATTTTGTGGTTGTGATAAAAAATCATACTGATATACGGCCTTTTTCTCCATACTCATTACTAGCATTAAGATGAGCTTGAACCCACAAAATTATCACTTGAACTCTTAACCTACTGGCAGCAACAGATTTGACCTATACCACCAGTGCAGACCAAGATCTGCCATGCCGTCTCGATATAGTCCGCACTCATTGCTATTCAGTCAATTTACATTTTTTGAAATTTTGATCATTTTCTCTAAAACTAATGAATGAATGTGTCCAGATTTAAAAGATGGACAAGTCCATTTAAGATTTTTAGAGTGGTAAGGGTTAATTAACAAACCCGATTACCCAATGTTCTCTTCATTTTGAAAAAATGTAGCATAGTTAATCACAATTACATCAACCTAACGGCACACTAACCCATACAGCAACGTTAAACATTACCTCCAATTTATTCTATATTATAAAATTAAATCCAACTCTTGCACTTAAAGCCAATTTTTCTTGAGCAGACTTATATAACAGACATGTTTCCTGAAACTTTCATAAACTTTATAAAAAAAACAATCTATGTTCAAAACCAGACAAATAATTCTATCAATTACTGTTACTCCTATCTTGACAAATCATTAAATCATTTAATTTTCTAAAGCGCTTTTCTAATTTGTGACATCAAAAATGTATATAAATTGCATTTAACCCTGGTTTGTGCATGACTGAGATGGATTTACTGTGAATAAAACATTGAAAGGCCCGTAGATTAACCTTGCTACATGGGAGATAAGAAACAGTTGATATTATTCAAACCTCCTCAATTTAAGTGACAAGCACATTCAATTATTGAATTTTATTTGCACAGACCTGTCTCAACACAGCCTACATCACAATCATTTCAAGGTGAGTCTTTGTGAAAAAAAGTAAGATATTAGAAAAAAGATATATACATGTATATATTGAGACGTTTTCACCCACGGATTAAATTTATTTCTAATCTATTGTTAAGTATACATTTGTAATAATAAACAATAACTAGAAAGTGATATACATTGTACATTTATATATTATACTGTGCTCCTCTTAGTTCACGGTACTTAACACTTTGAAGCAAGAAAGAAAACAACACTTAAAACTTATGGTACAAAAATTGTCATAAGCTGTAATATATAGGTATTTTCTGCTGTATGACACAAGGAAACAACATCATATTTAGTCAAAATCAGTTTAAATGAGCCAGACGTAGACCATTTGTCGGCCATTTTGAAAACAGTATTTCATCATTTAAATCGCGGTAATGGTGTTTCATTTCATTTTTTTCATGTTTCAGTTAAAATTTCTACATTTTATTTTGCATAATGTTAAATATTAAAATTATCATTACTTTGTAACTCAAATTTATTTTTTCAACAAACAGGAACATTTAGAAAATGATGATTGTTTCAGACGTATGCACAAATTTAACGGACTATTCTTGCTTTTTGCAGAATTTTGTAAAATGTTTTACGTAAAAATCTGTAGATTTAAAATATTTTGCACAAAAACTTTGTTGTTTAGGTGTTTGAATAAAATATGTCAATTCTGACCAATTTTAACACTGGTTAGATAAAAATATGCCATTACCGTGAAATAAGTGATGACGCTGATTTAGTAATGTTGAGTATATATATAGCTTCCACAGGTACTTAATCAACTTTTAATTGAGAATAAGTTAAAATTTCCATTTTTAACAAGTTGCATACAATGACTTGTCAGTGTTGTTGATCAATATAAGTATTTCATTAGAAAACATAAGATAATCCTGTCCTTACATTCGGTCAAAAAGTTATCCTTCCAAAACTTTTATGTTTCACTTTTTTGTCTCCAAAATTAGTAACAGTTTGTTTCACCATCACTGATAAACAGTTGAGTCCACAATGTCTATTTATTTATTTAAGGAATATTTCAACATAAATCTTTTTTTACCTGTGATCTAATGCATAAGGAAAAGTTGACTATTACAAGTATTTGAGGGAAAATTTATGACCGTTGAAGATAAAAAGGATAGTGGGGTTGTAAGGAAGTAAACACCCGCCAACAGATAACCTGACGACCTTCAGTTATCTATTGCAGGGCACAAGCGCTGGGATTTCCCCTTAACAGGATGTCAGAGATTACCTAGGTAGATGCAGTTTTAAACACATGAATTATTTTATCAAGGAGGGTTGTCTTATATGAAACACAGTAAAGCTGTCAAATTTGTCTAAATATTGGCAAATCAACACTTAACATGAAATAACTCTTTTTAAGTTTATAATTAAATCCTGATAAGGTTATAATTGTTTAAGTCATAAGGTAGAATATAAAAATACCCTTTTAAGATCATTAAAAATACTCAAAGAGATTTTTAATTCCCCACTCATGCATTTATCTAAATACTCAAATACTGTTTTGTGCTTAATTCCATATTGTACATCATATTCATTTTTTCCCTTTCAGTCTCCGCTTTATTTCCAACATAATCTTTGCATGTTTTGCTAGTGCAAAATACATTTGTTGTATCTGAATACATATACTGGGATCCTTCATATTTGCCGGACAATCAGTTTCATATTTACCGGACAACCAGTTTACCGGACAAAATCTATTCCTGAGCTTTATTTTTGTTTCGATTCAAAAGACACTAACATCATCGATATCACAACTTTTCTTTCTGCCATGGTTCAAATACATCAACTCTTGACTTTGAATGCAACAGGTAATTATAATTGCCAATGCTCCAAGAATAAAGGTCAGACAGTCTGTAGATATAAGCAGTTATGACCAGACTACATTGTTGCCTTTAACCTTAGCATTTTGACATTAACATTTGACCTGCTGAAATTTATGTAATGGATTTTGCCAAATTTTGAATATGGAACAGTCTGTTCAAACTTTTAGGACTACAAAAACTGAGCTACCAACAGTAAAGAGCCTGATCAAACTGTACGTTGGCCAAGTTCTATACTTGTTACAAAAGTTTCTGCAGGTGAAGCATCGAAATCGCATATAACAAAACAGAAATTTCCAACTTCCCAGCAGAACAAGTAGTTTATCAGCTAGCAGTGTAATTGTTAATTAAATTTTAATGTTTATAAAAGGTGAATCAAGGTTAAATTTCAACCACAAGCTATTGTTTTATCACACTGAAATAATCAATGACCCAAATTTTCATATTCCTCTTATCATCTGCTAGATGGTATTTGAAATATGAGAAGCAAAGCCAAGCATGGGGCTTGGAGCTTTGATTACTTGTGTAAATACTGTTCACAGTTCAAACACAGAATTTCTGATAAACCCTCAACAAACAGTTCAATCACTGGTACAAATACAATGTACCATGAACAAAATCAAATATAGGATGTATGGAAAGAAAAGAATCCATCAAAATTAGCTTTATCTTTACGCTGTTGCTTACATTTTGTTGTTGAACAAGCTCTTTCCAATGCTGACACTGGGCTTGAACCTGACGCAGGTCGCTACGGAGACGGTTGATGTCATGTTGCATGGCAATACTGTCACTAAAGTCATGTTCATCCCCTCCATAGCTAACACTTTCAAAACCTGAAAATCAAAAATATAGTTTTTTAAATGTCTCATAATGAACTCGACCGATACTAGAATCTACACAAATCATACCATAAATTTTGTTAATAAATATAAAACACAAGAAACAATACAAAGGCAAGGGCTGCTTAAGCATTCAGCACATCTGATGTTATTTTCATATTAAAAAGATAACATTTATAACACATGGCTAATTTCTACTTTATGGTACGTATGTATATCTGAAGTAACTGTCTTAAGATCAGTTCAAGGGAGATAACTTTACTTTTCCAAAGCTAACAAATCATCATAATTATGTTACACACAATGCTATATATACAATTCTTTTTTAGAAATACCACTGTAATGTATATGAAACATGATTGTCCATTGGAGCAGCAACTGTATGCATAATGATAAGAAACCATTTTTGTTTTCAAAATCATCTGCACAGCTTATATTTTCAAATTCTAAATGCCATTTTACTAAAATCCTACCTAAAGAACGCCCCCAAACCCCTCCTTATAAAGTAAAGAAAATTAATCAAACAGAAAAGTTAAACTTTTGTATCTGATCTTGTTTCTACAGATAAATCTATTTATAGGTAAAAAAGCTTTTTTTAACTAAAATACAAAAATTCAAAAGAACAATTAATACACAATAACACGGGATTTGCTACGTATTATCTGAGAGTTGAACCTAATTCACTCTACCATCTTTTTGAACAGCCACAATATAACGATTTTGGTAAGCTGTATAAAACATGGTATTGAAACTGCTTGTGAGATTTCTGTATAACCTAGCAACTATCAGTTGTGTTTGGGCCGACACATTCACGTTGCTTCAACAAACCTTTAGCCATATCAGGTTAAAACATTGTAAATTGTTCAACAATCTTAACCCTACGCTAAGATAAGAGCTAAGTTTGTACATGTACATATATGATTTCATGAGAAACTTTAAGCTGACTAATTCAATTAAAATTTCACTCATTCACCCATTTTTCTTAGAAAAAATAATGCCTCTCGTTCAAATGCAGATTTCTTTGAACAAACATTTTTCATTTGAATATATGATATTGTTATGTGAAAGGTTTTTTAGTATAATTTATTTATTTTCAATTTGAAGGATGACGTGTTGGGAAGAGCGAATTTCTTTAATTTATCCATCATGATTTTAACAAAATCTTCAATGCTATCAACTGTTTAATGTTCTTACAAGTAAAATTACTTAGAAAATATCTCAAACTTTTTACATGTATATATAAATATTACAAATAACTCATCCCACATCTGATTTCACTACTATAAACAGTTAAAACAATACATTTAACGCAACCAAATTTGAAATTTATACAAGAAACAATCTGATTGGTGGATATTCAAATATCTGAGCATTTTTGAAAATTTTCAAACTGATAACAGTTTTCGTAATAACGCTTTTAAAACATGAGTTAGTCACTTGAACTTTAGACTTGTAGATTTTTTTGACAGCGTCACCGGAAACCGGGTATGAGAGCTATAGATAAAACGTAACTTAGCCTAGAGAGAATGGTATTACTAGATTGTGCAATATCTTAAATCAAGACCAAAAAAAAAAATATATATAAAATAGACTTTAGACTTTGTTTTTCATGTAATATCTTGCATGTAAAAAAGAAATGCAGTAATATTGTTTAAACTTTGATTTATATAGAAGATTATTTTGTTGATGCATTTTTTTTTTAATATCAATTCTACAAATCCAAAAAAAATTAGACAAAAAACAATCATTAATTTATCACATATTACAAGTTAGAACCTGGTTTTATGTTCAATATCATTTTAAGGCTTATACAAGTTTTTAGCTATTTTGTTTTTGTTCTTTTGTTTTATTTTCGTTTGTTTATGATAAATAAAGCTCATTTGTGAAAATTGACAGTCAGTAAATACATAATATAATTAACAGTTTACTGCAAAGAAATAGCGAAACATGTTAGTCAGATACCAGTTATTATAAATGGAAGCTATGTCCATGCAAAATTGAAGAAGAAAAAACAACACTCCAGCAATAAACAGGTCTAAAATAAAAGTTTAATATTTACAATAGTGTAGTTCAAATACTAAAAATGTTACATCTGTATGTATGTGCATTTCTACTGAAATGATTAGTGTATGATTTAAAAGTATAAAACTTTAACCTTATAAAATGGTAATCAATTAGCCACAAGTATAAAGCTAGGCCAGCCTGCACATTAGTGCATTCTGACCAAGCACTATACTGTTGGTAATTAAATTTCTTTTGTGTTTATACTGAGCTCTTTTTAAACTGTCAATAAAGTGTTCCAAATTCAAAATAGGGCTACTCCATTACACAATTTCTGATGATTAATAGTTAAAGAATAATACAGAAAATTTTAAAGTCTAAAATCTAAAAGGCTTGAGGGCAAGCATAACCGTACATGTTTGTCGAGCCAACAACTCTGATAACATTGTGCAAGAGAACAGTTTTTAAAAACAATAAATAAACAAAAAGTTATAAAACAGAAAGTAAATATTGTACTTCCTCCATGTATTGATATTGTGAGTGTAATTAAACATTTCAACACCACCATGTCTATATAACAAGTGTACTTGTCTGCACTTTATATCATACAATCCTAACTCCTTACCTGAACAACTTCATCAAACATAAAAATCTACTTGAGAATTTGCAATTCACATGTGCTACAACTGAAATTATTATAAAATTTTAATGGAGTTTTTCCTCATTCTATGTACTTTTTGCAGGGTAAAATGGAGACTTTCTCGGCCTCAATACATTGTCACATGTACCAGCAGGAACCTGCATAAAACTATCAATACATTTGTATTTCATCAACTTAGTAGCTGGCTGGATCTTACAATGGACGAAATTCATCTTTTTCAAGGAATGCATTTCAAAATTAGTATTCAAAGCTATATGATTTATCTTTCAATGGAGTGCGACATTTTATTCACATAGATACAATATGCTATATGTGTCATAATAAAATATGAACTAATCCTGAACATACCATTGTCACTGTCAAGTCGGAGTACTGCAGGTTGCGTTTCCGAACTCACATAGGAACTTTTCAACTCCTGTACTTCATGCTTTAATGTCTTTATTTCTTTCTGAAAACAACCATACATAATAAATTATAAACTACATGACAAAATATTTTGCAGACAAACATATAGTAATATCTTTTAAGATTTTAAGAATGTTTCACTTTGCAATAGTGCTAATATTGGTAACAAATATTGTGGTTACTCAACGAACAATTTCCCAATTATCATAAAGGAATGCAACCTTACGAATAAATGGAAATGTGACAGTACTTATTGTATTTGTTTTATAGAATATCGGTGAGGCTAAGAACTGAACCCAAACTGAATAATATGTAGAGAAATTAATATATATAGAAATATATGAAACATTAAATAACAGAAAGTGTTATTTCAGTATACTGTAATATTAACTATGACACTGCACTTTTTTTAAACAGAGATAAATTCTACAATTGCTATAGCATTATCAGTTAAAATATTTATGTTTACACAATGTGAGACTTGTCAGAATGTAATTATATAATGAACATCTCGAAAGGAGGTTTAGATAAAACTATTAATAACTATCCCTATGATGTCCCATGTGGGAGAGATGCGTTATTATATAATCCCTAATAATGTTTTACTGGCACTTATATGACAGTACCCCCCTAGACAACACAAACATGCTTAAATCTGCTTATGTAATAATCCTACAGACACATTGATAAAATAAAGCTGCTTGTATAAAATGTACAAATATTGTCACTTATCAACTGAATAAATGACTTTAAATGCATTACTTTATTGAAAATGATTAATTCCAACTATCAGACTTAAAATCAACAGGCAAGCAATTCAATCTAAGTAACAAATGTATGTAATTATGACGTCATAAAACGCATTTCCAACTGATTATTCTATAACAGACTAATGTCTAGTTTTAACTGTCCCTTGATAAATCAGCAATTTTAAAGCCAAACTGAAACCAATGGTATTGGTATACAGGAATTTGATACAGTGTCTAAATTATAGGCTGGGATGACTTTATAACATATATGACAGAAAAAACAAATCAGTCAAAAAATACCCAAAGAAACCCTCAACTTAGAGAGGAAATTAACTATAAGGGAGGGAAATATGAGTTTATGCATGTATATACAAAAACATCCAAGACTAATATTATAACAGGCCAACCAAGATTTTAAAGGGAAAAAATCCAAATTAAATTACATTTATAATGACTTAGCCACTGGGTTGATTATCACCAAAGTATTATATAAAAACAACCCAACAGAACAGAAAGTACTCACTGACAAATTAGATGAAAGCTTCTTGCACTCAGGAGGAGATGATATTTGGTTATCCTGAATTCATATTTATAGTTACAGGTTTTTTTATTTATTAATTAGCAAGGCCTAACATTACAACATAAAGAGAGATGATACTATATAACTGTTTATTACCGTGTCAGTTTTATATTTACAAGATATATAGTTCTTGTTTATGTAATTATCTAACAAAGTGTTTCCCTTGTGAACAAAGTTAGCAGTGAAGAACCATAAACAAATATTAACCATGACCAATTTACAATAATATCAATGCAAGACATCAAATGAAAGTTTCTAGTTCCAAAAGTTAAGTCACATTACAGTTAGTAGCAAAACTGTAATGTGACATTTATGTATGGCATCCAAGGCATAAAAAATTTATCATTTATGATAAACAAGTTGCGTCAGTTAATCCACAATAACTTTACAGATAAATAGTTGTACCAGTTTAGACACAAATTACTGTAAATGATCATCAATTTGCATTAGTTATGCTGATAATCAATTTGCACCAGATTAGCCACATTACCATATATGATCATCACTTTGTAAAGCATAGCCTCATTAGCGTAAATGATAATCAATTTGAACCAGTTTAGCCACATTACAGTAAATGCTAAACAATTTAAACCAGTTTAGCCACATTTCAATAAATGCTATTATAGTAAATGGTAATCAATTTACACCAGTTTAGCCACATTACAGTATATGACTATAATGACAAAATACTGTCACACCAGTTTAGCCACATTACCATATAATATAATAAATTTTGCACTATTTAAGCCATATTACCTTGAATGATAATCAATTTGCACTAGTTAAGCTATATAACCATAAGTAGCAAAAGATCTGGTAAATTTTGAGTCTTTAACATTAGACTTACTTCTTTTTCCTCTAGTAATGTTCTGTATTCTGTAGATATTCTATTTATCTGTAATTCTGACCCTTCAGCTTTCTCCTCCGCTTCTCTATTTAATAACTTCAGACGATCTATCTGTAAATATATAAATATCAACATGTATACTTTATGCAACAATTCACATTTTGTTAAAGAAGTCTTGAAAAAAATAATAAAATTCCTATCCATCTGACTAGTATTCATAAATTAAAATAATCTCTTAACCTTTACTATACTAAATATGTTAACTGAAATTATCCATCTTTGCAATCCCCACATTCATTATTTTAAGGAAATTTTAAAAATAAGTACAGTCTTATATGTAGTGACTGAATAGCAAACTGTGCAGACCATGACCAGACAGGATGGATGTGTCTGTACTAATCACTAAGGTACATTCTTTTGCTGCCAGCAGGCTAACAGTTACAAGTTGTAAGAATCGTTAAAAACATTCATCACTGTATCTGAGATAATCATATGAAATCCATCCCCATTTATCAAATAAAATATCAAGGGATATTTTTCAAAAATCCAAGATCAACTGTTCCTCTGCGATTTCAATTTTTTAAACTTTTTCTATTTATTTAAATATGACATTTATCAAAGTCCACTTAGTCACCAAATGATTAAAGAAAGAACTTACATTTAACCAGATAACTCCAGTCAAGTATATTTGTGCATTATTTAACAAACAATTTCTATATACTTCAAATCATTTTCTACATGATTATGTTATACACAGGTATCAAGTGTACAAATAAAAAAGTGTAAATTGTCTTTCCTGCTTCATACAAATGTATAAAACTTTCTACTTAACAAGTCGACAGTGCAAACATACTTGCAATAAAATGAAATATGAAAGTTGATTTATGAGGGGATGTCTTACACAAAGGATATTTCATTGAAATATTATTATACGACCATCATAAATGTGATAAACCCTATTCGAGCCATTGTTCAACAATGTAAATGTAAATTATCACTTAAATTTACGAGATTTAAGTGTTGGCGAAATTTAAACAAAGACATGCATGACATTGTAAAAATGCAGACAAATTATAACAAAGCAAATGACATAGGTTACCTCCCATTTACATATAATTACCACAGTCAAATTCAAGTTGTTGTTTTTTTCCGTTAACTACATGCGTGTTTGAAAAGGTGTGTTTATTTCACCGCATCATTTCATCGTTAAATTAACATAAAAAAATCTTAAGTTTGAATATCCTTTATTTCATAAATTTCTATTATTCATTTTTGGTAACAAGAATGTCCCTTCCACATTTTTATAGAACTACCAAAAACTTTTCATTTCAAATTAAACCTTGTTATATTTAAAAAAAAAATTTCTATCAAACTGCAAGTGGCTTCAGAAAAAAGTTTTATCTCTGACTAATAATTTAACTTAGAATGTCAATTCATATCATATTTTGCAAAAGCAAAACTGATTAACCAAGTTTTATTTCTTAACTTATCACATTTAAGTGAGAAAAGCCATGAAGATTTCATGCAATTACATACAAAAACAAGTAAAACTTTCAATATAATTTATAAATAATATTTACCTCTCGCTTCTAAAATTTTTATTCATTGTACCATTTTCACGTATCAGTGTTTGATTTTATTCCGTAATCTATTTTTAAAACAAATCAATGCTACAAGGCCTTCTTGTATTCAAGCCATGAGGTCCCAGACTGCGGTCAATTTTTTAAATATCCAAAGTTTACTTAATACAAATATAAAATAATTACGTACCTCGATCTTCTGACTAACGCACACCGTGTCAAGCTCCTTAATTTTCTCCTGGGCGAGCCGTAACTCAGTCACATGATCTGAAAGACAAACATAATCATTCTGATGATTGATAATGGTTCCCAGCTCACCTGGCTTGTAGTCTCCAAATATGGAATTACTGATAAGCCAATACTGGTTTCTGATTGGCTGAAACCAAGTCACCTTCAAGAGGCCCTCAAATATATTGATAACAGTTAAGCTTTCCCAGGTAGCCTTATCTATGACAGAAATAAATATCCTCTAACAAGAGCCGGTTAAATTACGAAAAATCTTGTTTGAACTTTTAGAGTAATACACTAACACTCCAATTCACTAACACTACACTATATACAAAATGAAATTCCTTTTTTTTTTAAAGGCAGACAATCATATATTGACCACATTTTAGCCACTTTTAGACTACCATTTAATGTTATTTTACTTATATAAGGTCAGTAATTGCATAAAGCAAATTAAGCAGATCATGTCACTGATGCATTTCTACGCAGCAGAACCCAAGCAGATAGAAAACATTTCAGCCGCGTCACGACAAAACCAATGTAATGCATTTACGACCAGCATGGATCCAGACCAGCCTGCGCATCTGCGCAGTCTGATCTGGATCCATGCTGTTCGCTTACAGACCCTATAACAAGTAAAGAAACTGATAGCGAACAGCATGGATCCTGATCAGACTGCGCGGATGCGCAGGCTGGTCTGGATACATGCTGGTCGCAAACCCATTATGTTGGTTTTGTCGTGACGCGGCTCATTTCAATGTTTCAAATTCAATTCCTGATAATAATTCTTCATTTATCATTACCATGTTTAGCTCTTAATTTTTTTTATTTCTAATTAAAGAATCATACATATTTATACAGTTTAATAGTTTCTAAAATTTACTGTCAATTGGCATGTCTTAAGATTTACAATTATAGATAACTTTTCTTGGTTGCATAGATTTACAAAAATCAAATATTGTCGACTTAAGTAAGCAATGTCTCCATAGAAAATCCTGTAATACTTTTCTGAATACAAAATTTGAAAATATCTGTGGTAAAATTATGCAATTTGTGATCCAGCAAATAACCAAAGATGCAACAGTCTGCTATATTATTTCATCGAAGATTTCCTCTCCACAATGTGACATGTCCTCTATTCTTTTACAGTAATGAAACTCTCACAATCTTTCTCTTTTTTACATCACACTTACATAAAGCTGTAATTATTTCTATATAAAAATGGACACTTTCCTCCTTTTTTGATTGGTATTCACAGAAAGAAAATATCTCATTTTTTTCTCTTGGACAATTAAGTGACAATGATGAGACAATGAAGGTTTTACAGTGCAGCTCTTAAAATTATCTAGTGTTCTTTGATGACAAAGGACACACTGCGTTCCAAGTAAAATTATTAGGTGAGATGGGTTGAAAAGAAATTAATACCATCATACTTCATCTGTGTGGCCTTGACCCTTGAGCAATCAACAATTTATGGTGATAATGTGTACCAACTTATTTTGAAATCAAACCATGCCTGCAGAAGTTGCTGACCAGACATTAAGTCCAATTGCATGAAAAATACACTTAATTCAATTCCTTGTTGTGACCTTGACCTTTGCACTATACCAATATCAAAATACACAGCTGTAACTTTTTTTTAATTCTAAAGGGATGTGTTTCAAATGTATGTTTCTTATCAGCACCAAAATTATATGTGATAACATTCTTTACTCTAGTACACAGTCATATTTCCAGAATTATCTCCCTTTTAAAAACTATAAATTGTAAATTTTTATTCTTGCTTCTTTTATACTTGTGAGAATGACTTCAAACTTAAAATCCTAGTTATCACCCACTTCAAATTAAATAAGGTTCATAACTTTAACACCCATATTTAAAAAAAAATCACCTTTGAACTGAAATTTTGATTATTTCCCTAACACAATTTTAATTATTTCTCATGAGTATGAATTACATAGGACTAAAAATTAATGTTTCATATTATTACCAAAATATATGTATGTATGATAAGGTCCATAAAACTAAGTAGCATCTATATTTCAAGAATTTACTTCATTTAGAACATAGAATTTTATTGAGACATTGTTACTTTTACTAAAAGTATCTACTTCTAATTTAAGACAATGATTTGTTCCATGTCATCTTTTATTTGTACTAAATGTATGACAAGGTTCATAACTCTAATATTTATATTTCAAGTGTTGTCTCCTCTTTGAATTTAGAGTATTTCTTAAAAGTGTTAACATCTTTGTTAGTTCAGACTTTTCTTTTCTTTTCCATTACAACAAAGTTATTTTTGTAAATGTTTCACATTTTTATTGACATACATGTTATGCTTATAAAATAGAGAAAATAAGAATCCCTAAAGAAAGCCCAACATGGCAAAATTTAAAATGTTGCAGGCTCGGTTTGATTGCGCCTGTTCGTTCAATTTGGACATTCAATTTTTTTTTTTTGACTATCAATTGTAGTTACTGGTTTTTTTCTTCACTGCATCAATTGCATGCATGAGTCTATCCTGCTCCTGTGACTGGGGGAGAGACTGGGGGAGGGACTGGGGGAGGGGGTGATATCAAACAATTTTTCTTTAATGAATTGATACAATCAAGTCAATTGTTTTTCATTGCTGTTTGAGCTTCATCATAGTATTAAAGACACATCATCTATATGCTGTCTGACAGTACAATGCTGAGATGACTCATGGTAACAGGGTGGTGTCTTTTAAATTATATATATCAACTTTTACATAACTGAATTAATACACAAGGGTCTAAATTTGTATGGCTTAATGAAAATGGAACTATTTTAAATCTATACTAACAATAATAAAAATAATAATAATAATCATAATAATAATAATAGTAATAATAATATTAATAATTAACCAAATGATAAATGATTTTGCCTGCAAATAACTTAACAGTATATAAATGATATACTGATGTTTAAAAGTTTGATTATGTACATGTAGTTTGAACATAGCAAACAAAGAATACTTTAAAATCAGCTCTATTTGTCCAGGGCAAATATCCTAATTATACATATTATGTGGATCTATTTACAGACATAATATTTGCAGATATCTGAATAAAGAGTAAATATGATGTCTCATAAATGTTTGAATCCAGGCTTAGTTTTGTCTGCAACATGTATAATATCTTAATCATGCAGACATTGTGGTTATTTAGCTACAAATATCCGTCTACATGATTCTTATAAAGTCATGTGACTTATTAGAAAATGTACTCTTCAATTAGGTTCTCTTTTTTGTTTTTTATTATTAAAGGGGTGGGTAAGGTTACTTACATCATTTGTAGCTTAAAAGAAGGAAAAGTTTACCTATACAGTACAACTGAAAGCAAAAAAAGGTGCCTATCAACACTTCAATTTACCTTTTAAGCAAACATCGTGCCTAAAGAAAGGAAAGCGTCTTAAATTGTTGAATCAAAAAGAGACACGTTTTGATAAATGCGGGCATATCTTGGTAGCTAACACTCTAAAGCCTCTCTATAATTCCCTACCATCTTAGCCAAGATAAAAGAACTATCAGCTATTCTTTATACAGTATGACAGTACTGATAAGGGTATAGGGTCCCATTTAGGGGAAAATGTAAGAAAATGTAACTTATAAAGTTCTTATTATTTACCCCTAACTAATCTACATGTAACCAAATATTGGTAACCAGAATATACAGAAATGTGCAAAAAAATTTATCATCAATATTTATGAAACAAGCATAAATCATGACTTGTGCACTTCTAAATTAATATACAACCCTCATACTCAAAAAGTATTCAGCTATACTGTAGGAAAAATTCCATATTTCAAGTTCAAATCAATGTTCAAGGTCATTTTGTATATTTTGCGACTTGATCAAATACATGTACCTTTCAATGATAATCATTATAAAATGATAAGTGACATGGAGACTTGTGCTTTAAAGAAAAGCAGACACATTAAACACAGTCCATATACTTCACCATGGTAAAGAAGTAAAACTATAAGTGAAATTATTTGTAAATTTAGTGATTTACTAAAGATATATTCAAGCTGTTAATGTTGTACAGTTCTAAAGAAATTTCCAATCTTTACCCTGCATTAACTGGGAAACAGACTTGTTATGGTTTGATTTATATAACTTGGTAGATGGATGAAATCTGCCATAATGTGTGATGGTGTCCAGTCGCCCAGATACATTTGCTTATGTTCTTTTGCTGGTACCTATACATGTACAATCATGTATACCTGACAATTTTCATCTTTTCAAATATAACAAAAACCCCAAGATTTGCCTTGCTTTGAATTTGAAATTTGAATTTGTAACAGTAAAATAGTTGTTTTATTTTAAGGGGCTTCAGTATTCAAACACCATTTTGATAAATGTACAGTCAGACAGTATACAGGTTCACATGAGACCGACATAGGCATTATAACTGCTCATGTTAATAGCAAGTATCCACACTGATCAAGATGTAAAATGCATCTTATAATTATAGACTAACTATGAACTAATCTCTCACACCTTTAACAAAGTACAGTCAGTAGGGCAAGGATGGGTACTAGTAATAACACATCAATAACTTGCAGGTATCACCTCCTAGCATCAATGTGTTACTTAAATATTAATAAACCATTTATACTTTATATACATATACTCCATTCATTTTTTTTCATTTACAAATACGCTGCTTAAACCTCAACAATGTCCAGAATTGTTATGTGGGTGCTTTATTTACTGGCTAAGGTAAATGGTAACTAAAGTTAGTAGAATTTACCCGCCCAACAACATAATGCACTAAGAACCAACAATATTTTTTTTAAATATTATCTACAATTGATTATCAGAGACTATTCTTAGTACAGTGATATTTTTTGAAATTTTTTTTGCTGCACTTAAACAAATGTGAAACTACATGAAATGTTTGTCAGATAAAATATTACTGTACACGTCACTGACGTATTTCAAGATATAAAACATGTTTAATTAAGCTGTGAAGTCTCAATATTCTGCTGCAGTTTGCACAATTTTAAGAATGCATAATTTATAGTATTGTATATAATTAATGTTAAATAAGAGCATTATTGATAAACAATACAAATATTTAGTGTTGGTAACAGATGGCTGTGTATAAGAAATTGAGATACAGAGTCTCCAGATTATTTTCCTATATTTACCTTTTTAGGTATTATACATTTTATCTATATAAAGGGAAACAACTCTAACTCTGATATCATACAGCCATTACACCCCTAAATCAGTGCAAAATCTGGAATTGTCCATTTAAGTTTCAAGGGTTTCTTTGAAATGAACAAGTGTCTAATGATTAAAGTGAACATTTTTGACAGTTTCTGAGAAATATACAAACAAGAGTCAGACTAAATGAAGTATGCAATTATTTGCATCTCATACTTGGGTGGCATAACTTTATGGTAGAAATATTTTTCAGCCTCAGTGACTGATTGTCATACATTTAATGTGTATGTACAGTGCATTGAAGAGGTTCGTGAAATGTACAGTCTAAATACAAAAGACACCATATTTAAGATGGTGTTTAAATGAAGGCACTGTGAGGAAAATATGCAAAGCATTTTTGCAGTCATGGTGACTATGATTTTAATGCTAGAATGTAGAAGGAAGTAATGTAAGATGCATAATGAATCAGTTTGTTTGTTTACCGTCAATAAATTAATAACATAGTCTTTTACCAATTGACAAACCATTGAAAACACCCTGATAAACATTGTGAAAATTTTCTCCAACTACCTCAACTTTCTAGGCATATTTATACTTTGCACACATGTAACATACAAAATATATTTAGCTATTTTGCATATTTTGTATTCAAGATCATAACTTTGAAATGAAAGTAGCACATGAAGGGCTGAGTAAGAGGAGTAAATCAGACAATGTGACTATCTGGCCCAGTCTGGTCAAGGATATTATCTTGGCATTTTATAAACTCTCGAAACAAGACAATTGAAGATTTTTGTCAAGACTGAAAAACACTTCATACCTAATATATCAAATAGGGTGTTAAAAATTACTGTTCTCTTGCTCCAAAAGAAGCAAATTTAGCACCTGTCTATAGAATTTAAACCGATAAAATATAAATTGCACCTCCAGGCATTTATTGGCACTGTACTGGTATCCATATTCTGGATGATAGTCGATTATATATGTTGTTAATTATAATAACAGTAAGGTGACATTAATAAACAGTTCAACTTGAGAATTGCAGAAGTTAATCTTGCATGCTTAATAAAGTACTTGCCGTTAAAATGCTAATAGTTTACATGCTGTGATTCTAGCATTATTTGGCAGAAGGTACATGTGTAGTACACATGTGTAGTAATATTTGAAGACACACAACAGTTGTTCAAAATACATGCAAACTGAAAATAATGAAATGTGACAGTTCTTGGAAGAAACTTTTATAGACAAGGTGATTTAGGAATGGACATAAGTTATATCAGTATATGATATATTCATTTTTGTTAATCTAATATTGTTACTTTAACCATGAAGTTCATAGGAACACTTCTCATTTGAGTTGAATATTGATTTCTTAACCCCAATTCGCCAAACATGTGTTGAAATCAAAGTTAATAAAAAATCGAGTTTTAAGCCCCTAAATCAAGCTGAAAATCCCATTTTGGCGCAATACAGGCTTTGAAGAATTTTTCTAGGGTCATTCATCCTGCAGGACAAAAATAATTAAAATCAAAAACTCATTACACAAATTTACTGTTTACCAGTCTATATCTGTATAACTGGCTTTATTCAATCACATATTGTTTATAATACTTTTCATACTTTTAATATATACTCTTTGACATAGCCTGTATACTTATTTCATTCAAATTGTAACACACACAGCTATGGAATAGGTCTGGTGGCTAAGTATAAAACGTAACCTAACGCGTATGTAAAATACATTGTTGAATGCTGCTGTTGTTCACAGGTGCTAGTTGCATTGATTTGACCTAAAATGTGTTTGACCTTGTTATTTATACAATAAAATATCAATATATTAAAAAAAAAAAAAAAAAAAAAAAAAAAAAATTTTCACTGTTATATTATTATAGACAAGGTATGCAACATTCAGGTACGAAAATTATGGGTACGCCGGTTATCTGTGTTAAAATTTTTCACCGGGCGGTAATATCGTCGGATTTTTGCATGGAATCAATGCACAATATATTTTTCTATTACAATTTACTATTTACAGATCCCCAATTAACCACTAGTTAATGTTTTAAAGCCCAAAAGTAAGAAATCACCCAGGTCCGAAAGAGACCGTCATGACATGTACATTGTAAGCTGGTATTTACGCTTGAAATACATCAACAAAGAGATCAAACGGGTCGAACTCACATGCAAACAACTGGATTTTACATACTTTTAAATGGTTTTATCCTCCACGAGTGGCACTAAGTCCTATGTGCCCGTATTTTAAGAAAAATTCTACATGTATAAGGTAATTCCTAAATCGGAAGTGTTCTGCCGCAACACGTGCTTGGTTCCCTGTTCCGCTCTTTGTCAATGTATGTGAAACGGAAGCCGGAGAATACTTCCGGTGGGAATTACCTTCTAAAAATATCGTCTACATGTACGATATTTCTTTTAATACAGGCTCATAGGACTTGTCTATAACAGTGAAAAAAAATTTTTTTTTAATATATTGATATTTTATTGTATAAATAACAAGGTCAAACACATTTTAGGTCAAATCAATGCAACTAGCACCTGTGCTGTTGTTATGAAATGGGAGGTGTTAATCGATTCATCATATATGTTCTTAAAGTTTTATACTTAGCCATGAGGTCAATTTCCGGTTCACGTTTGACAGGTATTACAATTGAAAAGGCATCTGCAGTTTGGTTGTTAACTGAATAACTAAATTAAATTATAAATGTTTAAAGTTACATCATTGGATCGGGAGATCAACTTTTTTCTCACCCGACCCAAACTTTCACTTGCAAATGTTAAGTGGATATGTTGAGCCGTCAAGGGTTGGTATGCACAAATAAAATTTTTGTTCTTTTATCAAATCCTTGAAAGTTTATCCTGCAACTTAAAAGGGCTTTACCAGTGTAAACAACAAAAACAATGCTCTAGTTTAGTCAGTTCAGCCACAATACCTATACCTACTTTCAGAAGCCTTGCAAATGACAGGAAAAAAGTTCAAAGTTACCATTAAATGCTATGCATATCAAACATGTTCATTAGTAATACCTACCACTCACTTCCTCTGTTCCTTCAGTCAAAATATCTTTTGTGAGATTTGACAGTTGACCTGTCAACGAGGAAAAACTGCCTCCCAACCACGACATTCTAATAATTCAGTAGATTTAACACTATTAGATCATTTTGTAATAATCTAAGACAATGCCATATTGGGTTAATCTTAATCAAATTGGTTGTCATATGGAGAAAACTGTTATGTTTTTGTAAATATCATAAATGCCAACACGGCGGCCGCCATCTTGGACTAAGTGCGCAAACTCATTTCAAGGGAGCTAACTCAACAACAACTAGAATGAGGCCCGTCTTAGGGTTCTAATAAATAATGCCAATGATTGTAAAAATGCCTGAATTTCTTGTTATTTACTGTATTTATGAATTTATTTTTTCCAAATCCAATCCTAACTTGTGTAGTTCCATCAATGAGATCAGTAATCAGAGGTTTTGTGTTGAATCTAATCAGTGGTTTAAATTTTTCAGTTTTGATTAATGTGATTTGATATAATCAAATCCCAAGCAGTAGTCCGATTGGTAACACTGACCGATACAAATCCAAGGATTGCTATTTTGATCACCACTTCTTGTTAATGTCAACTATAAAAATGTGTTAACAGAAACTATTTTTAGACAAGACATGGCATTTATAACTCAAGGCACAAAGGCACCTTAAAACACAACATTCATTTTTTATCCATGTGTGAATTGTCTGCTAATTGCAACTCCACAATCAGTCTAGACATTTTTGAAACAAATGTCACACTTCTGTCTACTCCTGCTTATATTCTACAGTAAATTTATCAGTTGCCAACTGAATACTGCTGGTTATTGTATAACCAAGTTCAAAGTACACTATATTTTAAAACTTTTGGCTGAGTGGTTGATAACACATTGTTACATATGACTACCTCAAAAATACAACCTCTGTCCGAGTTCTATGACCTTTGTGTTCATTTGCAAATTATCCAGTTGTTGCAATTTTGAATCCCGTTTAGAGTAGGATTTGTTTTCCCAATGGACTTTCATCTTTGTCATGAATATGAAATGTTTGTACGAGTGCATGTCGAGGGTTGACCACAAGACTGTTGTAAGTCATTCTTTACTCCATCTGAGTTACTGCAGTTTTGCAGTAAACCCTTGATATACAAAATGTCAGAGTGTAAGTCTATCTATCTTTTACTTTTCCAGCAAGGGTAGAATGATGGAAGATAAACTGACTAAATGCTGAGTTTTTTCTGGATGTTCAACAGTACATTGTTTGTCACTAAAACTTGTCTGTTACATTGGGTTTTTTACAGACACAAAGTAAAGCACTTAAGATTCTATAGATAGTACCAAGCATTAGCCCATTGGCTTTATTTCATATGTTGACATTGAACAAAATGCAAGGAAAAAACATTATTTTCCCGATAAAGTTCTGGTAATAAGAAAATAAGACATAAGTTGTTATTTTTTCATCTCTTTAATAATAAATATGACATAATCATACAATTTCAATGAACATAATCTAGGTGATCACCGTGGCAACATGATCAACATGTGTATAAAGGTAAAATCAGGTAAAAATTGGTCAAGATAAGTGGTAAATATGAACACAGAGTGTTTCTGGTAAGTAATGAACAAAAGCAAACATTTAAAACATGCTCAACAAAGGGAGAGAACTGTTGTAAATAATACATGCTGGTTTTGACTTGGAATTAATTCAATTTTTGTTGTTGTCATAAGCTCTTTCTACTAGAACAGCACATGTTTTGTGGGTTGTTTTTTCTTCTTTGTAATATGCAGATACAGATGGCTGTTTTCAAACATTTCATAACTTTCAAAATTCTGCTTATCCCTAATGATGGATGCTTTTGTCTTTGAATATAGATAGCTTCATTTGATCAATATTTTGCATAAGAATAGCCTACATACAAAGAAGACTTAAAAAATATCAAGACAATTAAGCACTTAAAATTAGTTATTTCTCTCTTGTTTTAAAATCATGACCTTTTTTTCACTCTCATATTTTAAAATCATGACTTTTCACTCTTGTATGTTAAAATCATAACTTTTTTCTCCTAAGGAAAATTAACAGATCAGACTTTCCAAGAATTAGGGAAAAGAATATTATGGATAGAGAGAATCAAATATTGTTACTGATGTTCAGTGCTAAGAGATTTTCAGTTGTGTCATACAACCATACAATGTAACTAAATATTAATAGGGGCGTAGCTTGCTCTAAATATGTGTAGGCTGAATTTTAAGAGGGTGTTTTGGGGCATGAATTTCCAAGATTTTTTCTTCCTTTGAATCATTCGATTGGTTTTGGCTAAGTTTAGTGCAATTATAAATATATTCCGTATATTTAAGGAAACATTTAAAATTGCATGTAGATAAATAAATTTTTATATAGATCTATTCAATTTTGTTTGAAAAATAAAGGCCATTGCCTACACAGCCTATAGGAAGCTACGCCACTAATTTATGTGACTTCAATTAACTTTTGTATGTATTAATTTAAATAATTCATCATATACATGTACCATAAATAAACTAGTGGCTTGAGAAGATCTATCAATCATGAACAAAAGTTATATATCAAAATATACAGTAAATTTCTACATTTTCATACATTACAAACCATCATAAAGTACGACACAAAAATCCATTTTTATTGAAATCACTTTGAACTTGTTCTAAGTACAAGAGATTGAACATACTAATTAAATCACATTTGATAATTCATACAATTAAATTCAAATCACAATTCTTTACAAAAAAGAAGAAATTTACTGCTGATATGTGCTAAGTGTTTTCAATGGTTTTATTCCATTGATTTTGATTTAAACCCAACTCTCCCTTTAAAGGAAATTTTTCACACAGAAAAGATTCACAGACTTGTGAAATACTTAGCAGTAAGAAACTTAAAGGGTGGAAAAAGTAACAGCTATCCATACTCAGAAACATTGAGGGAGAAAAAAGTAACAGCTATCCACAATCTTTTAATACTCAAATGTATCACTTCAGACTTCATAATGTCAATTTGATTGTTGTTTTTTTCTTCAAACATAATATCTATGCATCTTAAAATATGATTGCCCTCTAAACAGAATAGAACATAACACAACAAAAACACCTACTTATACCCTATTAAAACTTTAAGACCCTGATATAGTTGTTCTCTTCAAACTGATTGTACAGTTGTAGTTTTTATACACAACATAAATGAGCCACGCTATCAGTTTCTCTACTTGTAATAGAGTTGGTAAGCGAACAGCATGGATCCTGATCAGACTGCGCGGATGCGCAGGCTGGTCTGGATCCATGCTGTTCGCAAACGCACTATGTTGGTTTTGTCGTGACGCAGCTCAAATGCAGAACTACTCACCCTTTTAACTCATAAAATCTTCAAACACCAGAATAAGAATGATAACCTAAGCCATTATATGTCTTAACAAGAATTACTCTGAAAATTCATATTTCCAAATAAAATTTCAAATTAGTTAACTACATCATAAAAATGTAAACAATACAAATCCTATGAGCACTAGAACATAATACCTGATTGCTATTTTATATTTCAACTAACAACTGAAAATTTAGTCACTTTTTTCTCTACTCTCTGAGGTACAGTTACAAAAAAAAAAAATTATAAATAAAAACATACAGTATTAATATCTAACAATTTTACAAAGAAAATCAAGACAGATAAACAACAATATTTATATACAAGACTTAAACATAATACATAACAGGAAACTAAAAAAAAAAAGATTTATACAAACATTACCTGACAAATAAATAAGTTCACATGAAAAAACAAATAATTTGATCAATTTTGACTTGAACAAACTATGAAATATATACACAAATTTGCTTAATAGATACATATAGTACAACAAAATACTCATTCAATTTACGCATTCAATACATAAAATATCAGTCAATTAAGGATTTTTATACTGCTCTTTAAGCATTAGGTTATAAAAACAGCATAATTTTAATGTTTTTTTTTAATTCATGTAAATATCCCCATCAGATAAGGCTTTATACACTTTAAATTTTGACAAAATGACAAAATTAAAAACTTTATTAAAAGTAAACAAATTTTATCTCCTTAAATAAATATCGATTTCCAGGCATTTCAACAACATTAGAAACTGCTAAGATTTTCTTCTGCCAATTTAATGAAAATAACCTTCCTCAATTTGAAAAAAAAATACCTATGCTTTTTTCATATATCACTCACATTTTAACATTTACAATTAATACTAACTATATCAGAATGTAGAAGTTTTTTGTCTATCAATACTGTAAGACCATCTATTCTTCTATCTAGTGAACTAAAAGAATATAACATGGAATGTTCACTTGATAACACATGACATAGTAATGTTAATGATGAACCTTTGCCACCAGTATAGAGCCAGGCCAGCCTGAACTGACACCAGTATAGAGCCAGGTAGCCTGAACTGACACCAGTAAAGAGCCAGGCCAGCCTGAACTGACACCAGTATAGAGCCAGGTAGCCTGAACTGACACCAGTAAAGAGCCAGATAGCCTGAACTGACACCAGTAGTCAGGCCAGCCTGAACTGACACCAGTATAGAGCCAGGCCAACCTGTACTGACACCAGTATAGAGCCAGGCCAGCCTGAACTGACACCAGTATAGAGCAAGACCAGCCTGAACTGACACCAGTATAGAGCCAGACCAGCCTGAACTGACACCAGTATAGAGCCAGACCAGCCTGAACTGACACCAGTATAGAGCCAGGCCAGCCTGAACGGACACCAGTATAGAGCCAGGTCAGCCTGAACCGACACCAGTATAGAGCCATGCTAGCCTGAACAGACACCAGTATAGAGCCAGGCCAGTCTGAACTGATACCACTATAGTCAGATCAGCCTAAACTGACACCAGTATAGAGCCAGGCCAGCCTCAACTGACACCAGTATAGAACCAGGCCAGCCTCAACTGACACCAGTATAGAGCCAGGCCAGCCTGAACTAACACCGGTATAGAGCCATGCTAGCCTGAACTTACACCGGTATAGAGCCATGCTAGCCTGAACTGACACTGGTATAGAGCCTTGCTAGCCTGAACTTACACCGGTATAAAGCCATGCTAGCCTGAACTTCCCTGCTGTGTGACCAGGCTCTATACTGTTGGCTGACCACTCTTAAATATCTTGATACTAAAAGCCTGGATGAAAGCAGGGCCAGATCACTGCCTTTAAGCAGCTGAGTTATCTAGTTGGTACCAAATATGAACATAGTTTGCCCCAGTATAAGATCAAGCCTGACTGACATCCATGATCTGGATTTTAATTATTAGTTGACCCCAAATCTAAATTAAAACTTAGTTTTAGTTTTATTGTGTATGAAGCAATAAGCGTATGGAAACACTTCAATCCATTCCTAGAACCAACCAGTACTAAGTAAAGAGTAAACAAGTTTCTTGCTTTAGGAAATAACGGTTTGCCCTTGACAACCTATGCCTAGATTATTAGTATGATTTGTTAAGCACTCAATTACGCCACCACTAGAATAAGTCAGCTTAACATCAACAAAATTGAAAACAGGTAGTTCCAAAAATGGGGCTAGATGAGTCAAATTAAAAGATTCAAAGATGTAACAATAAGTTGTAGCAGTGTTTCTATAGACAGTTGATACAGGAGATAAATGACAATGTGGGTATAATGATTATAATCACTTTAGACATCACTAGAACACTTATATTCACAATAAACATTGGGATAAATAAAGTAACATATAATCATATTACAGAAATATTATTATGCATAGAAATACTTTTTTTAAACAAAGATACTGACGCAAGAGACAGAAGATCACGACTATGATTTGTAAGTAAACTGTTTTTGGATTACATGAATATTTTGTGGCATACGCAAACAATTTTGGCAGCAAGACAAAATATGTGGTGATTATCTGAAGTGAATTTTTAAGCTTACTGATATAATAATTAACTAATTGCGCTTAGGACTGGATCAGCCATGTTTCAAATTGCTGATAAATGTAAAGTGATGTCCTATTGTGTCCACAGGATGATTATTTGACTTAAAACTTAATCAAATTTGTTCAAATAGATTTTTCAATTTTTCATACATCATGCTTATGAATCAGGCTTAAGCTATACCTGCATTTACATCTAACTTATATTTTTTGTATAGTTTGACTAAAACAGATTAAAAAGTTGCTAATCTAAGAAATACCTATGTCAGTTGTGAGGAAACCTTAAAAAACATAGATTTTGACAAGTTTTACATAAAAAAATGACTGATTTTTCTATATAGAAATCATACTACATGCATAAATAATCATTTCCGAACAAATTTCAGTATTTAATATTCACTATATTATAAAAATACTGGTGACCTTTGACATATATACATATATAAAGCAGCATTGTTTATATTAAGCAAATGTAGATGACAGAAGTAACTATGCCCAGACTAAACAACTTAAATCAAGGTTGAGGAACTCTACAATAAATAAATTTAAAGAAAAGAAATTATCAGAAGAAATTTAATCATATAAAATTGCAATATTGATAGAGAGACTGGCCAAGAAAATAAATAAACATTTAGTTTGCTATTACATAAAGACAAAATGTAGGAAACTTAATCAAATGAAGCATTGATAACCTAGAGTAAAATGAACAAAGTATTCACAATGTGCCCTATAAATAAACTGTATGGAAGATTATCAATAATATATTAAATTTATCATGTAATTAAATTTTGAAAATAATTGTCATTTATTACCAATTACATAATTCATTTCAATGCATAGTCTGTGAAAAAACACACAATTTCAACTGAAGAAAATAACACTAGAATGCCAATTATAAATAAAATCTGGCAAAAAGCTGGAATAAACCTTGTAAAATGTGAATCAGTCTTAAAACTCTGAAATGTTTATTTGAAGAAAAAAGAAAAGAAAAAAAGACTGAATCAAATAAATGAAAAAAATACTGGATCAACAAATTTTTTAATTTGCAACTATTCAAAACTTAGAATCATTTTGAATCAACTGTAAATATAAAAAACAATATGGAAGAAATACGTATGCAGATTTTTCATTTGCAAAATTGACCAAGTTGGAAAGAAAATCTAGTAGTTTCTCAGTATATTATGAGAACAATTAAAATACATTTTTTGACATCATTGACAATCAACATTACAGTTTTACAAAGAAAAACAAATACATGTATGCATGTTGTAAAATGCAATAAATACTGGTATGAAAAAAATGTTACTTGAACACAAAATTCATATTTACCAGTTTTACACGAGGACAGATTTTAAAAGCATTTGGATATACATATTCCAGCACCAATATGTTAATATATGATTATGTAAGTGTGTTTATATAAAAATAAATGCCTTAATCTCCAGCAAAAAGCAAGCTAATGGCAATCACTAATAGTTAAAACAAATGAACCTCTTATGTCATTTATGTAATTACTATATAAGCCAGTTTTATTGTGACTTGTCCATCTTTCAGCAAGGTCAAAAACCATTCAATTTCATTTTTGTTTTTTTGTTTGTTTGTTTGCTTCATTTTATGCCTTTTCCCAACAGTATTTTAGTCATATAGGCAGGTAGTTTCCTAACCACCATTCCTGGAGAGTTACACCAGTATTAGACTACCTTCCTCTGTTCTATTTTATTAATTTCAAGGAAAACTTCAATTAAGAGCAATTAGTGCAGACCATGATCAGATGACACAGATGTGCAAGATGATCATGGTCTGCGCTGGTCTGCACCGGTTTGCATGCAGCCAGCAGGTGAAGCATAAAGCTGTCTGCCAACTAACATGTAAAGTCTGATGATAATTTTCTTTTATTTAACTTACTTCCATGAAATTTGTTAGTCTTAATTTAACATAATATATTAGTTCTTACAATCTAATTATCAGTTTTACCGGTGTATTTGTAAAATCCAAGGATTCAAATTCTAGCATACAAATATATGAGTACCCTATATACATGTTGTTAGTTTGTGAAGTTCATACAGTTTAATATGTGACTATAAAATATATATGAGTTAATTAGACATAGCCTCTGTTAATAGATATGTTAGTTTGTGAAAATCATACAATAAAATATTTGCCTAAAAGGTAGGAGTTAATAAGACATAGTCTCTGTTTATTAATTTGATTCAAAAATTTCCTATGAAGTCAATAAAATACCAAAAAGCTATGTCATTGTGAATATATATTGGTCAATTTCAACAAAACAGGTGTAAGTTTCTACAAATGAATAAAAAATATTTTCTAACATGGATTGCTAAATCAACAGCTTACATCTGACTACCCTAAATAATTGTTCACTGAAGTTCAAACAATGTATTTATTTCCTTTATATTGAATGTTATTTGAACCAAGATCATGAATGTTTATAACTTCTATGCAGATCTATAGTGACTTTATGAGCTTGTCAACAAGGACAGTGATCCTCTGATGTATATTGTATATATATACTGTAAATTCCTTATTCTTAAGACAGATCAAATTGTGTGACTTCCTTGTCATGTCTCCATCATGTCTAATCAAAAATACAAATTTGTTCCTTTTTTTTCCTTAAAAAATATATGGGTCTAGCAAAAAAGAAATTGGACATAGGATGTTTAAGAAGCTTTTCATATTTTTTCTCTTTTTTGTCTGGGATAACTAGTTTTTAATATGTCCAAATAATAAATTGACTAGCAAAATTGACTATATTTTAAATGAATTTACAAATGTAATTTTATTGAAAAAATTCAGCAGAAATTGTACTGAACAAATAAAAGCTAAAGCAAAGCTTTTTAATCAATGCAACAAATATAAATATCCTCTATATAGTCAATGTATTTATTATCACTGAATACTATTACGAATTTCTAACATTTTCAGTTCTATCAAATGTATAAAGAAAAGTTATGTTAAACTTTATTTCAACAATAGTTTTGAATAATGTCACTAACATTGAATAAGCAGCTACAAAGTTTTAATGATTGAATACTATGACATGATCTACTGTTATAATACCTTCAATGTGGAATGTTTCTGTAAAACAAACAATTATCACTTTGAATATCCTTAACGGCCCATAATGCCTCAGAACAGTTATCACCTTGAATATCCTTAAAGACCCATTATGCCTCAGAACAGTTATCACCTTGAATATCCTTAAAGACCCATTATGCCTCAGAACAAATATCACCTTGAATATCCTTAAAGACCCATTATGCCTCAGAACAATTATCACCTTGAATATCCTTAAAGACCCATTATGCCTCAGAGATGCTATCATTTTTTAATTTCACAAAAACATTAATTTTTTGGTATTTTGCTACCAAAATATACTCAGTTGTTATGAAGATTCTTTTGCTTTGTTGGCAATTGGTTATTATACTGAATTAGTATCTTATATTTACATTAAACTACCTTTACAACACATAAATGCACCTTCAGCGCTACTTTCTTCAGCTGTTAAACATCTAATATACTCCAAAACCATTAAACATGTGTAAGACATTTCTAAAGAATTTCATAAATATAGATTTCTGAGGCATAATGTGCTTTTAATTTATATATAACACTGTCCAGAAAATGGGGTACTTTATTATTTTTAAAAACAAAATATCAACAGGGCTATATTCATCAAAGATCAGTTATATAGTTTCATTATGACCTGGTAGCCACATTAAATATACTGTAACATGTTACAAATCACCTGCTACCTTTGCTAATGTATTTTTACATTAGTTTCTGACAGGTACTTATATACACATCCATTTTAAGAATTGATTTAACTTCTTTGAAACAGAACCCCTGCATATAGTACCTAACAACTCATTTCTAGCTTTTATAATGATAACCTGGGAGAAAAATGTTTCTTCACTTTTATATCATTCTAAAAAGCAAAATAACGTAGGTATAAATCTTTTCAAAGGATTTGCATAAATTATAATAATCTAGAACATTACATACACAATGTCACCTTATACCATCACTGTCTATTCCATCTGTATGGTCTTTGCTTGTGTTGTTTTTCTTTGGTTTCCTTTTCGTTGATATGTTCCCATATTTCAATATTTTGGCACATCACTCATCATTTGCTAAATTCAGCCTTTAAGATTTGTGCAAGAAATTAATTTTTTTGTTGTTAGAAATGCAGCACAAGTTTAATAAAATCATCCAATGTCTAAATTTTTTAAAATTCAACATGTATAATATACACTTTGCTTGTTCTTTCAAAATTTGTACAGAACCATCATTTTCACATAATGATATACGATGATTAACTCGAAACACCTGTTCTATACTCATTCTCTGATTGGAAAATACCTTTCTTTAAAGACCAGCATGTTCATTTCTGTAGAAAACAATGATTCCAAATAATGGAAGTGCATTTACCCTGTACATAAAGGACATCTCAATTATGCATGACCCTTGTAGACAGGACAGGCTGTTTAAGGCAGTATTCATCACAATCTAGTTTAAATGTAGTGAGTGGCGAAACTATCAAATGTTCGGAGCTTAAACCAGCAGTGTTCTCAACAATTGCTACTGCCACCTGCAGTGCATGCTACAATAATAAACTTAAGCTGAACATATGTTGAACACATGTTGAATGATTTTAGTCCGTATAATCCTGAAATATCAGTTTAACTATTCTAGGCTCCTCATCTAAAGGCGTGGCACAAAATGGACAAACTGCATGGAAACCTTGACAACCGTGGGGAACTGCAACCTGGGACCAATACCTGTAAAATAATGCAAATTTTAGATATGTATATGATTTGTCTGAATTTGCCAAAAAATGCATTCTCAATAATATTTTAGTAATGCAGTGGTGATAGTTATCACCATGGAAATTCTTTGTATAATCTGCACTACAAAAAGAAAATCAAAGCACTGAACATGCTGAATTTGTTTAGGTTACAAAAAGCAGTATTTTTGACATAACAGTTCTTTTAACTGTGCCATTCACCTTGTTCATTTATTATCAACAATTTTTCCATACGACAAAAAGCAGCAAAATAAAGACTATGAGCAAAACACATATAAACCTGAATAAAAATAATTTCTTGAATTGTTTGATACTGTGTAGCAGTGTGTAGAATATTGTGCGACCTGTTGATACCTAATTATTTGGTACCGGTATGTTTATAAACTAGTTATACTGGTGGCAATGGATAATCACTTGTCAACTGGGTAAGGATCAAAATTTCAAACAGAGACACTTTTACATTTACAAAGTATCAGAGAACAATAATTGTACTGCTTTTAAATTGCAACCGATTAAGTGCCTAATTGTAAATTACCCAAATCATATACCACCAGGCAGTTACATAATTTATGTTCTGGATTTCTATTACACAAATTTCCTGTTTATACACATGTAAATCAAAGCTTCTCCACATAAAGTGGAGAACACATAAAGTTGAGAACTAATAACCTTCCATCCATTTATCATGGGAAAACATTAGTTGTATTCAGGACAATAAACAATAAACATAAGAGTATAACCAGCAAACTATTTGAGATAAAATCCAGCACACTTACTTGACTGTTTTTTCGGAGGCCATATGTCCACAAGGACTAAAGCAATAGGTGGGATGTTCATTATCAACATACAAACTCAACTCAGCTCCCATCTTTAATTTCACAAATGGACTGACCTGTTACAGAGAAAAAAAGCAATGGTAAATAGGATACTTAGTGTTTTTTTTTAGAACAAAAATGATTACTTTGGTTGATAAATTTCTACGCATATTAGATTCATTTTATCCTTGTACAATAATGAAAATAATTGCACATCAAAGGACATTTGGATTTTTCTTTCCATCACCTCAGATATGATTCAATAATTATACAAATTGAATATGCTCTTAAAACAAGCTTTCTGTGAACAAGACCTACATCCATCAAATCAATTCTAAAGGAAGAACAAAGTAAAACATTGGATCAACTAATTGTTAGAGCTATTAGATCTTTTAAAATACACATGTTGTTAACTATGTAATCAAGAACTTTAAAACAAATAATTTCATAATACTGCACTTTTGCAAGATCACTTTTCATTGGTTAATCATGACATTTATATAAATCATATACAAGACTGCCATCAATTTATTTTTTCTCATTAGGAGTTTACTGCATTATTAACTCATTATGAAGATTCTTGCAGGTCATATGGCCATAAATAAAGGGTTAATTGCAATATAACTATTGCCTTGCAGTCTTGGTTATATATGCAAACAACTGTTATAAGGGCTATATAACCCGTCAAAAATCTATATAACCTGTAAAAAATGTTTATAACTAACATAATACATATGTATGAGACTTACACAAAGACATAATGGACAAGTCCTTCCATCATTATTATTACCCTGTCCCCACTGATGTTGTCCATGAACATGACCACATTTTGTGTACACAAATGGTTGTTTATCATTTATACCAAGTGTCCCTTTTCGTGGCAGCACAAGTGTCATAAGGCCAACTGGACACTGAGGACGGCCTGCATTAATATCATCTACCATAACCTCGAACTCACGTTCACTCTAAAATTACAATCATTCTCTTTAGACAATGACATAAGATCTTAATAAACGGACAAATATGCCAAAAAAGGGTAAATAAAAATGCCACACAATTTTAAGTTCAATACATATTCTTTAAATCAATGCCTGTGCAATATTTGCAATATTTACCAGAAAGAACTACTGGTATGTATAATTTACAAACCATAGCTTTAAAGGGCAAATGATTAAAATAAGAAATTCTAACATGCCTTGTGTTTTTTGTCACTATACACAAAGATGAAAGTAACAAGTGTTTAACTGCCAAAATACACTGGTTAGGGACTACATGTATATATAACTGTTCTTATTATGCATGTTCTCCCTCCAACAAAATGAATTAACAAAGCCTTATTAACGCAACAATAATGAAGCATTTTTATTTAGGGATGGCAACGAATACCAAAATCAATACTCGAGTACTCGGTCATTTTTCCGATCGAGTACTCGGTTACTCGGATGATTTTTATGATCTTTAAAGTTTTATCACACAATCAATATCAACACCGTCTGTATGCTACTTTCGTTTTCTATTTTAATTCATAGAATTCGTAACTATAAATAGGACTGTAAGAAATATAAATATATAAACAAATTAAATGTCAATGACAGCATTTCTTATATACCTATAAATTTTCTCCCTAAAATACAGGATGAACTTGATGGCAAATGCAGATACGCTTCAATTAACGGATAGAAATTGATAAATACGGTACCATATATGGAAGTGCCGGACTGTTTTTGACATTGGTTCCGATCAAGGCTTTATATAAACGTAGCATTTAAAACGGGAACCAAAATTATAAAAGGCGTGGCCGGTTTTGCAAAAATTATGTATTCATCCGTCGGTCATAAATTTACTTCTTGACAGCTATATTTCATTTTCTAAAATTTCTTATAGTGTAGTATATTGAAAATCATTTATTATTCAAACGAAAATGTATATAATAAAAAGAAAATTATGGTGTAGAAGCTTTCTGAGCCTATGCATTTTTCTACTCGCAATGTTGGAAAATTGATATTTCACTCGACCTTCGTTCTCGCGAGATATCAATTTTTCCACTGCTGCTGGTAGCACAATATAATATTCCGTATATATTTACGTTTTTATAATTAACAAGTTTCGGCTACAAACTGTCTAATATTTAAAGGTGATTAAATATCATAAGAGGCCGAATGACGTAAACGACACAGGACTGTGTTCAATCCCATACGCGTGTCAAACTGCTGATCGTCTCGTTAAATTTACGATATCATTTTCACACCTCTGCAAGGATGTTTTGATTGCATTTAACAAGTATTTATATAGATACGTGTACATTTCCGAATTTCTGAACTAATCTTTCTAAATGGCAAAAAAGTAGAAATTAAATATTTTTTTCCGAGTAATCGATTATCAATTGTGTTAACCGATATTTGGACGTTCGATCGAGTACTCGGTTAACCGGTTACTCGTTGCCATCCCTATTTTTATTGATAATTTCCGTTCTTACTGTTTTCTTTTCATATGGTGCCAAAATAACATCTCACATACACTGACATAACAGGCTTTTATCTATATTAGCCAATATAATTTTTATTTTAACAATCTTTAGTAATTTGCATGCAGCATAATGTCGCCATCCTAAGTATGGGGGTGCAGGACAGCAGAACCCAATACTAAAATTGGCAGCAAACAATCTTCACTTCAAAAATAACATAAGTAATCTGCCTTATATTGTCTTGTTAGAATCAGAATAATATCAGTCTGAGTGGAGTTTATCCAATATTTAACAACAGTTTGTTATTCTGATGCAAAAAAACTAACCACTCAGGCCTACGACCTTTGTGGTCAAATCGTTGGCATCAAAACTACAATCCGTTGTTAAATAGCAGATAAACATCACTAAGACTGATACTATTTATTAACCATAACCACATCATGTGACATGGCTGTAGCAGTACTCTCAACAATTTACATTCATGTACAAAATGTATTTTAATTGATACAACATTTATCACATTTTATTATTTCAATTAAATGACAAAACTTTTGTATGAAATTCTTAGAGGTTATTTTACTAGTCAGCCTTTATATAAACATACCGGAGAAGCAGACAGACCAGCTGCTGATCTCCATAGCAACGTAGCTCCACACAGATCTATCAATGTACCATCTTGTAGAATGTTATTCTCTTCTAATATCTGGAAAATAAAACATAAATGAGCCGCATCACAACAAAACCAACACAGTGCGTTTGCGACCAGCATGGATCCAGACAAACCTGCGCATCTGCGCAGTCTGATCAGGATCCATGCTGTTTGCTTACAAACCCTATTACAAGTGGAGAAACTGATAGCGAACAGCATGGATCCTGATCAGACTGCGCAGATGTGCAGGCTGGTCTGGATCCATGCTGGTCGCAAATCCATTATGTTGGTTTTGTCTTGACGCAGCTCAAATACAAAATCAACACACCAAAATAATTTCCCTTTATGAACTATGATGTCTTGCTTTATCTTTTAAAGTAAAAAAAGCTATTTTACTTTTTTTTTTAACTTTGAAAGAAATATGTTTATATATTTCCTTAAGAGGCAATGGCACATGCATGAAAATATTGCTATAAACATTTTAACCCAACTGAACATAGCAGCATAATTTTTTGTTCAGAAACATTTTATCTTATCATGTACAATATTCCATGTGATATTCTATAATACAACTGTTTCCTGAATCAATGTTATAGACCGTAGAACCAACATAATTTTATCCTTCAATTATTTCAATATACAATTAACTTTATCTTGCAGAATAGCTATATGGACTTGCCAAGTTTCCAATTATGGAACTGTCAATTATTAATTTGAGGTATATCAATGTGAAAATTTTTCAGTAAATTAGTCAACAGTATCAAGCCTGGTAGGACTACATGGAGGTGCAAGCTGGCCTGGCTCTATACTGGAGAAATCACTTTCAGTTCCAGCTGGGTAAGGGTTAATATTAAGCCTATTACTTAAATAAACATATCAAGCATCCAAACAATCTCCTTTGCTCTAATGCAAATATATCCAGAATAAAATATCGACAAAACTTATCTTTTTAATTTTCAAACGTAATTATCATTTCCATTATATAACAGTTATTTTAAATATCAGGAAAATAAACCTACTGTACTGGGAAATCATTATGGTATAATACCCCAGTGATAACAGCACTAATGTATTTAGATATCGGTATCTATTAACACAACAACAGACAAATCTAAATACAATACAAGGTATATTCATAACTGGAACAAAGACCTGTTCATGCATATTATGCACTACTTTTCTAAATGTTACATAATATAGTTAAAGTAGAAAAGGGGGCATAATTTTTTAAAAGAGCTTGACAGAATTACCTGACTTTGATATTAGCAACTATTAAAATAACATTTGAGAAATGGCCCATACATTAGCAATTATGAAAATAACAAGAAATTACATATAACAGGTTGTGGCCTATATCCCCACTTACCTGATTACTTTTATGAGGGGTTGACCTTGACTCTCTAAGTGCATAAACAGTTCCCCCTACAGAGACCTCTCTCCATATACCAGCTGTAGTGGACTGACAGAAAGCACTCTGGGGCTGCATAAGGAACACACCGTTCGTGGTTAGACCATCAATCTCCTCACCGGAATACCATTTCACTGCCTTCTCCTGAAAATAATGTACATCATAATTTTCTTTTTGTCTTGATATAATGTCAGAAAATCTATTCTTAATAAATATACTTAAATATGAGAACTGCACAAGATTTGTTGTTATATGTATGGTTAACAGTATTTACGAAACTGTTAATTTTAAGTTTCAAATACAGAATGTAATCACATCTTAAATAGACTACATAGGATGAAGTGTCACCAGTTAGAAATTATCAGAATTCTATGCAAATTGTAAAATAAGGTTTTTGTCTATAACTCCATGAAAGGTATTGACAAAAATGATTTGCCTACGTAGTACTCCAGGCTGGTATTGCTTCCCCAAGGATATCGCAGAAATCTTCGAAGGGGGCATAATTACTAACTACTAAACATATAAAATTACTTATGTTTTCAATGACTTCATAAACATTGCAAAGGACAAATAGAATTATATGCTATTGCTGAGATTTAATCTTGTAGGTGCATTTTTCAACTGTTATCCCATCTTTATAAACTTAACTAGGTAATTAAACTTGAATTTTGGGCCTATCACCCTAATATAGATACAATGTATATGTAAACAATGATGACACCATCAAATGACCAATCTGTCATACATTTAATGTCAATGAACCTATGAGATAATTGTTTACAATACAAGCAGTATTGATATTTAGGTATATTGTATTTTTTCAAGTAAATAAATGTTGAAATGATATTACAAAAGCACAAATCGTCACCTTAGTGCAATAACGTAATAAGTGCTTCTAAATTTAATTGCAGTCACTAAGGTGATGAAATGTGTGTTTATTAACCTCCTTTGAAAAAAAAACAAGAAACATGGCAATGCCATGAAACCAGGTTTTCAATTATCACCATTGTAGATAAATATGTTGTATTTGAAATACAAATACAAGCAACAAACAATGTAACTATGTGCAATGTAAAACATGAATAATGTAGGAGGAATTGCCACTGAAGAAGTGTTCACTATAATATTATGTATAAGGAAAAAAACAAAGGGCCATAATTAGGTCAAAAACTATCCAATCACAAAACCCCGACAATATGTGCCAGGGTGCTTGATGACAAAGCTTCTGTGAAAGTTTGAACAAAAATCCGTTGAGAAATGTAGGACAAGTTCAGCACAGAAGAATTTGTTCACTATAATTATATTGATAATTCTGTATAATGAAAAACAAGTTACAAAGTAGACATGAAATAATATATCATATCTTTTTTAAATTACCTCCAAAGATGATATGACCTTTGACTGCCAAATCAAGTTAAAATCATGTAAACAGGATTTTCAATGTTAATGTCACTGTGACCTTGACCTTGGAGCCAGCCATGCGGAACATGCGTTCTGCACGTCATCTTGATGTGGTAAACATTTGTCTGAAGTTTCATCAAAATTCTTCAAAGGGTTGAAGAGTTACAGAGCGGACAGGATTTTCAATGTTAATGAAATCATGTAAACAGGATTTTCAATGTTAATGTCACTGTGACCTTGACCTTGGAGCCAGCCATGCGGAACATGCGTTCTGCACGTCATCTTGATGTGGTAAACATTTGTCTGAAGTTTCATCAAAATTCTTCAAAGGGTTGAAGAGTTACAGAGCGGACAGGATTTTCAATGTTAATGTCACTGTGACCTTGACCTTGGAGCCAGCCATGCGGAACATGCGTTCTGCACGTCATCTTGATGTGGTAAACATTTGTCTGAAGTTTCATCAAAATTCTTCAAAGGGTTGAAGAGTTACAGAGCGGACAGGATTTTCAATGTTAATGTCACTGTGACCTTGACCTTGGAGCCAGCCATGCGGAACATGCGTTCTGCACGTCATCTTGATGTGGTAAACATTTGTCTGAAGTTTCATCAAAATTCTTCAAAGGGTTTGAAGAATTACAGAGCGGACAGGATTTTCAATGTTAATGAAATCATGTAAACAGGATTTTCAATGTTAATGTCACTGTGACCTTGACCTTGGAGCCAGCCATGCGGAACATGCGTTCTGCACGTCATCTTGATGTGGTAAACATTTGTCTGAAGTTTCATCAAAATTCTTCAAAGGGTTGAAGAGTTACAGAGCGGACAGGATTTTCAATGTTAATGTCACTGTGACCTTGACCTTGGAGCCAGCCATGCGGAACATGCGTTCTGCACGTCATCTTGATGTGGTAAACATTTGTCTGAAGTTTCATCAAAATTCTTCAAAGGGTTGAAGAGTTACAGAGCGGACAGGATTTTCAATGTTAATGAAATCATGTAAACAGGATTTTCAATGTTAATGTCACTGTGACCTTGACCTTGGAGCCAGCCATGCGGAACATGCGTTCTGCACGTCATCTTGATGTGGTAAACATTTGTCTGAAGTTTCATCAAAATTCTTCAAAGGGTTGAAGAGTTACAGAGCGGACAGGATTTTCAATGTTAATGTCACTGTGACCTTGACCTTGGAGCCAGCCATGCGGAACATGCGTTCTGCACGTCATCTTGATGTGGTAAACATTTGTCTGAAGTTTCATCAAAATTCTTCAAAGGGTTGAAGAGTTACAGAGCGGACACAATTTCGTTTGACGCCCATCCGCCCATCCGCCCATCTGCCCATCCGCCCATCCGCCCATCCGCCCGCCATACCCCAATCTAATAACCAGGATTTTCAAAATTGAAAACCTGGTTAAAAAGGATTGTAAAAAAGTAAGTATGATGTCAACTTAATATTCTTAACATGTAAATCAGTTCATTTCATCTAGGTGGTTTTTGTTTTAGTTGGGTTTTTTATTTGCATCTATGTGACAAATCAATACTGCATGCATCCAGACAAGCCAAAACTATTTTGAGAAAATTAAACTTGAGAAAAATGTACTGAGAAAAGTTAAAAGATTTCAGATTCAAGTAATACTTTACATGTCATGAGTGACTAAGGACTAAATGATTAAGGACTGATTTTGCTGTATTAAGCAAAACAGTTCTACTGCATTAATGCGGAATAAGAGCAATGTTATTTTTACCTCTTTTTTTGGTACAAGTGCTGTTTGCAATCTTTGTTCACACAATATTTCACTTTTACATACATTTAAAAAAAAATTATGAAAATAGAGGCATAGTGCTGTAAACTACATGTATCTGGTGAATTTCAAGCCTTACTTTTAGGAGACCAGTCACAAACTGGCTCCAAAGTAGAACCACTAACCTTGTCTATAAAATATTCATTGTTTCTGGCAGAAGTTAAATTCACAGAAATTGTTTGTTGTTTTTATTCATTCTAATCTAATGTATATCATTGAACTTACTCCTAAGAAAATATTTCTGCCTGAGTCAAACCCAGCAGCATATATTCTTGCAGTGTATGGTGGATTTCTCTCCACTAATATTCTACATGCAAATCTTGATATGGTTGATTGAGTAACACCGTCACCCTCCTTCCTCTGGTTGCCAGGTATTGTATCCATGACAACAAAATCTATCTGATCTTCAGACGATCTTCCGATCTGAAATATATGAAATTTAAAATAATATTTATAAAATTAATTATCTTTTATCTTCAGCATCCTAAAAATATTTGATTGAGATATGTCTTCATTGTTTCAAGCTTTAGTGTCTGGTATGAAACAAAATATATTCAAACAAAGTAATAATACTGAAAAACTAACAGAAAACCTTACTAACGACATTAAGACATATGAATGACAATGTTCAAGGGGAAGGGAGAATAAGGAAAACTTGCAATTATAGTCAGAAATGGATATTTACTTACTGCAACCTGGCTATACATAAATCTCAAAACTTTTGTGTGTATGAAATATCTTTTTTTCCCTTTTGTTTTGATTTCGACTATTTTGATGAACTTAAATGATTGGTCAAATATTTTTTCAGACCCATAATGATGAATCCAATGAGAAAAGTAACAGATGATGGAGAAAAACTTCTACATAATTCTAACCACTATAAGGTTATGGTAGTCATGGCAAAATACATGTAACTATAGCAAACCAGACCCTTATTCCGCCTTTTATAACCTTAACCTTCTATTAAAGACAAGTAAAAAGGGTTATAAAAGGTTATGTTTGAGTTTCTGCATACAAAAAATACAAGTGCTTTGCAACATATAAAATATATCATCAACCGTCTTTCTTTTATCTCGTCTTTAATGTTGGTAAGAAAACAAAGTATCTATCCAGTATAATGCACTTATAAATTTGACCTGTGGTGAGTTGACAGAGTTGACAATCAAGGAAGTTGGAAAGATAAATACCAAGAAACACAAATATCTCACAATGTTGATCTAAATTATAACTGAATAGACCGATGAACAGATGCCTACACTGTATCATTAATCAACCGGTAATTTACTGAGGTTCAATGTATCTCAATTATAAATCAATGGACTTTAAGGGGTATATGATGACAATAATATTAAGTTTAAGATAATTTCTAAAATTACTATTCTTTACATTATACAGCTAGAAAATGTAAAATCATGACATATTTTGTTTTTTCGCTACGCTAAGCAATTGATTCATTTAAATTTTTAATGAAGTTGTCAAAAAGTTCATTATCCTACTAAACCCCTAGTGTCCGGGCATTCACATTTTAATGGAATTGAGAATTTCCCTCGCTTTTAACAGATTGAATGATAAAACCACAATAAATACTGATGATAAACCAGTGTTCTCTATGAAAGACATTTAACAGTGTCAATGTTAGAGACATTGTAAGTGAATAGTCCTAGCCACTAGAAAAGGGCAGGCCACTCACAGAACTAAGACAGGACACTGAGTGCAGCAAGGCCAGATTTTATACTGTTAGCTGGGGCTGTCTTTTATATTTTCATACAGAAAGCCCTTTTAATAAAAATTTAATGTTCAATATTCAAAGTCCATACCAGAAATGTAGCAGGAGAAAGGTTAATCTAACCTTGATATACTTTTCTTAATCTTTATAACACTAAATATCTTAAATGGACTTGTTCATCTTTTAATCTGGACAAAACCATTCATCATCTTTAAGAAGTATCAGTATTTTAAATTATGACTAGTAAACAGTGCAGACCATGATCAGATTGCACAGATGTTGTAACAAAGTGGAATTTGTACATTAGTAAGAAAATTGGTACATTAAGTCACTGCCAGTGGGCTAAGATTTAAATATACAATAGAAAAAAAGTCTATATAAAAAACTTTTATACAAATTTTGTGCATTTTTTTGTAAATCATTAAAACAGCTTTATGAGTTCAATACAACACTATCCTATCTGAATGACCTTAAAGAACATTTTATTTCTGTATTGAAATGTCAGACAAGGATTCAAGTTTCAAATAAGTGCAACAATTATTGTAATTATCATGTTGGTTTTTTATTGTACTGTTATATGGTACAATATAACACCTATCCTCCTTGAGGGTAGATCTATATCACAATCCCAGAAGGTCATTAAAGTGATCATATAATTGTTGGGTTCATTCAACGGGACTTATTCATCAGACTTATTCACACTTCATACTTGACAATTTTTTTTTAAAGAACATCATTAAATTCAAAATGGTTTATTCCCTTAACATTCATATATCATAGATATATAACTAGCTAAGTCAAACCAAGTGCAATATTAGAATACGACAACCCCCCACCCCAACCCCCCCCCCCAAAAAAAAAAAACAAAACAAACTTACTATACAAATTAAAGCATGTACAATTTCAGTTATTTCACTGTGAATAATTTAATTAAATTTTTGAATGTTATGAGAATTTTCAAACATTCAAAAACACTTGTAGTTGTAACAATTAAATGACAAGCTTTATGGAGTTGAGAGCATGATTTGTGTGAAACATTCTTTATTTCTTTAATAAATCAATATACATCATTTTGTACATGTACCAATAAATACACAAACTAAACTAGAGTCAGCTGTCAGCAAAAAGGCTTCTTTTGCAAACAAATCCATTCAACTTCTGGTATATAATCACTTATAGAAAAAAGATACAAGAGTTACCCATGTGGAATAAGAGGATTTTTAAGGGGATTTTTCTTTCTTTCTGTTTCCACTTATATAAATATGTCAAACTTCAATGCTGTGTTGATCCTAGTAAGTACTTTATATAGCCTTTAAAATAGTCTTTCCCGCTTTTTTCTTTCTTTTGCATGTAGGATGAATTTTACGGAAATTGAGTTAAATACTCTTTTACAAATGAAAGAGATGAACATGTCCTGGGTAATGTGCTTTTTTTATCTGACAATTTCATTGGTTAATTTGCACAAGTTAAGTCTAACATTAGGAAGAATAACAAGCATTCTTGGATTTTGTACATGCATTAATCTGTTCTTTTATTGGTTAACAACTGAGGACAAACAATATTTCACATATTTGTTTTTTTGTTATTTTTTTGTCAATCTTATTCTAAGGAAACACATGCTGAGCAAAGGTCTCAAACATTATAATCCCAAGTATGCAGGAATCAAGTGATTAGCCTTTGCCACCAGAGTACAGCCAGGTCAGCCCTAACATATTAGTGCAGTCTGACCAGGTTCCACAGTATACAATTGGCTAATTTACTAAAAGAATTTCATCCAGATATCCCAAATATTAATATTGAAAGTCCCAAAAACTGAATGCTGGCCAAGTCCATTTAAGAAATTCAGCATGTTTCAGGGCTAAACAGGCCTTGTATTTTGTGATTGTAAAAATTATACATAAAACAGTACACTTAACTGACACTACTGTAAGTTATTACAAGAAATAATGGCGTACAAGTGACATGTCACAGACCAAAATAATCAATGTCACCAGACATCCTGTATTTTAAATGATTAACTATTTCCTTTCTTTTCAGCAAGAATGTTTCATATTTATATCAGAGTCTGAAGGCATCATTATAATATAGACTATTTTCTTTATCATCGGAGTTATTTCCTCATTAAGTCATATAAGATTAACCTATCATGTCCAATAAGGGCACTTTATATGTTATCATTTCTAAGAAAGCTTCTTTTTCTTCAATGACAGACAAGAGTTTTTTTCAGTTTTATTACTCAAAATTAGTACAGTAGTTTAATCAGGTACATTTTTGCACACAAAAAAACAACCTTTAATTAAAATGTATTTCACCATACTGTTTTCCACTTATGTCAGATTTTTTTTCATTTGGTTCTATTTCTTAAACTCTGAATAGTTCAATTCTTTATCCAAATTCCCTGAAATTTGCTGTTTTCAAAGTCAAATATTTTATGTAAATGTTTATTGATATTTTCTTCTTTTTCATCATAGAAAAATCAATCAACCGAAAAAAACAGTGACCATCAATTTCCTAAAAAAAACCAGAGAACTGTCACAGTTATCATACGTTATAACTAATTGACAAATCTGTCAATGGTGTGCCATAACTTTTTAAGACCTTGTGAGTCACAATTTTTTTATTGAAAGTACACTGTACATGCTGGTACTCAGAGAATTACTCAGAATGGGACTTACGGAATCAATGCTAAATCTATATATATCCCGTCACAGGCATCCCGCTTAGAATTTTATGTTATTGGAAAATTTATACAAGTTTTTGTGCTTTATACATGTATAGAACATCTCTTGTTAAATTTTGAAGTTTTTAGTACCAAATTTTAAGAAATTAATACAAAAGCAAATGAAAAGAATGAAACTAGGCGATATTTGCTGAGAACAACATTTTTCTTGCATGAAATATGTACATACTATAATTTCATTCATTCCTAAAATTGAAAATATTCCAGTTATCTCCCAGAGATCAAAGAATTTGCATGCTTCAGTTAACTGTAATTTTTAATTCAGTTCATATTAAAATAATTTATTGCATTATTGTATTATATAAACATACTTTACGAGGTGGATCAATCAGTACTTACCAGACATAATTATTGTTTTATTACTTTAGTAATTTTGTCATTTATTGACCTGTCAAGGTCAGAAGACGGCATGTTTGATCTGTCATGTATAGGCTGTCAAACTACAATTACATTTTACCATACAGACTGCCAAGCTATCCCTCATCACTCTATGTACAGTTTATATATCATACTACACATCAAACAAATTCTTTATAAATATCAAAATATTTAAAAAAAGATTTGAATTTACATTATTTTAAATCTAATGTATGATACTTGTGGTTTTTTTTTACACATTTTGTTTTTTTAAATTTTAACAAAAATTATATGTCTTACTCTGTAGTCTGTAATCTTACACTTACAATGTTAGGCTTTTCATATACACGTACTTGTATATCATTTTATTTTACTGATGCTTGAACATCATTGGTTCATCATTGCACATGTCAAAGATCATAATTATAAACCTTACTGTGCGGAATTTCTTGAACGTTCTATTTATATAACTCTTAACCCATCATCAGTTTTGGGAGATATTAATATAATAATTTAAAATTATTCAACGAACAGTATAAAGTTGACCTTGCTCTTTACTAAGTGACAAAGGCTGATCCATTATCATTTTAAGTCCCGGCA